ACATCCTGATTCACTCGCTACTCAAAGGGTGATCTGTTGGACCTGCAGCATCCATGTCAACTGGGAACTTGTTAAAAATGTACACTCCCTACCTTAGACCTACTGAGCCATTATTTGCATTTTTAATAAGATTGCTGAGATTTGTGGACATTAAAGTTTGAGAGACAGTGAACCAGATGCTAGAGAGGAGGGCAGTTGATGAGAAGTCGATGGTATTGGGCTAGGCTGGATTCGTGACACACTAGAGCACAGGCAAGCCAAGGTTACAAAGAAACATAAAAGACTTGAAAAGCCTTGCTGTCAAGAGAAGAGGCAGAGCAGAGCAGACCTGAGGAGAGAAGACAAGACAAGAGACCCTGGGGTAAGGAACTGAGAGAGTTATCCCAGTTCCTGTGGTCCTGCCCAGGCCTAGGACCCAGAGATGCTCCACTTGAAATCATGGAGCCCTGGGACCTGTGGCAGTGCTACATTTAATGCTTTGGGGCAGGTAGCTTGAGTGGGAGTCTGACGCTAATCCCTGATTATTTCTGCATGAGCTTCCTGTGTGATGCAGTTTCTATCAAAACCAACAAAATTTGGAAAATATAATGTAAAAGGGGAAATTAATCACTTAGAACTCCACCTGAACCAACGTCTGAACTATGGTTCTCAGTCTGGACATCTCACTTTTAAAAGGACACTGACATCCTAGGGTCAGACCTTCAGATAAAGGCACCAGCATAGTCTGATACTGTGTGTGAGGGTCTGAAAGTGTAATTGATAGAGGAATGGGCAAGAAAAACAGGGATGTTTAACTGATGGAAAAGAAGATTCTCAGGATACATGTCTTGAAGAAGGAGATACTCTTTTCTAAGATTTTAAGGATCAAATGAAGAATTGATCTCCTAGGTGTCAGAGCCAGCCCGGGAGATGGCTGTTGGAGCTCACTCTGAGGAAGAATATTCTTACAGCTCCAGTGGCATAACAGCTGTCCTTCAAAGTGCCAAGATCCTTGTGACAAGTGTTAAGTCAAAAGCTGAAGGCAAAAAACCCTCTTAAGAGACTTGGGAGAGTAAATTCTACTTTGAGCATGGAACAAGATGATCCTGAGGATATGTTGTTTCTCTAAGATTATCCAGTTGCAGTCAAGGATTATAAAGACTTCTTTTCTCTCTTCTGATCAAGAGTAGATAGTGACCGCTTTAGGAATCTGAGTGATCACTGGCATCCAGATTTTTCCATTGTCTTATTCTCTGAGAACTCTGCTGAGTTTCATGACAGTTTTTAAATAAGAAGATGGTAACAATTGTGCAGGGATAAGAAGTTGTTTGGAGTCCAGGAGACAAATCGAAAGAAAGCTGAGTTTGGAATGAGAAAGGAGCAAAGCTGGTTCCAAAATCTCTAATGTGGCAGAGTTAAAAAAGCTGTAAGAGGCAGAGGACATTAGTGATCTTGAGTTCCTCTCTATTTTAATTACTTAGAAACTTGGCCCTATCCATTATCTCATGAATGCAGGAAGTCCAGACAGTTTCATTATCATTTCCAGGTCAGGACAAACTTATGCACTGCTGTATGAGTCCATTGAACAATTTAGCAAACACAGAAGGTTGCACAAGGATTTGAAAAGCAAAAGTTAAAACTGAAAGGGGAAAACCTAAACCATGGATTGCTAAAGATCAGATTTGTTAGTAGAAGAGAAGATCTAAGCAGATCAAAATCAGCAGAATTTGAATGTCCCTTTTCATCATAATTACAAACACTGTTTTTAACAATCCCCAACCAGATAATTTCCTATGAGATTCCAAATGCCAATTTTTAATTTGTCTGTGTATTGCCTCCTAGCTTGTACATGGCCTTTGTTTCCTCATAACCTCCATTACCTCATTTCTCCTTTTTATCCCTCTATTTGCCAGAAGTGTTCAAAGTGTATGTGGTGAACAGCTTTTTCTGCCTCTCTTCAGGCTCTTGCAATTGTGGAGGAAAATTCCTAGCTCAGAAGCATGTTAGCCTAGTATGCATGCTCCATGGCTTGAGGGAGCCAGAGTCCAGAAAACCCAGCCCATACAAACGCAAGGAATGTGAATCATTCTGCTTTGGAATCCATGAAGCACTCAACAGAATTTAGGTACAATTTCTTTTGTGTTCTTTTTGCATTTTTTTGCTGGTGGGGTGGTGCAGGGGGTGGGGATTGTGAAATACACATTTTCTCCCACTTTTTTTGGTATGATATGTAGGCAGTTTACAGAAAAATAATAGCAATGAAAATACATATGTGGCTACCACTGAGACTTAGGACATTACCAGGAGCTCAGAAGCCCTGATACCCACTACTGAAGTCATCCTCTCCAAGTGCCAAAGATAACTGCCCTTCAGAATTATTTGTCAATAATTCCCTTTTCTTCACAATTTCAAACTTAAGCCTGCATCCACAAACAATATATTATATAGTTTTACCTGCTTATAAACTTTATGTAATAGAATTATTTAGTATGCATATCTTCTTTCCTGTTTATGGATTAATTCAGATTAAACACTGTTTTCATATAAATCCATTTTTAAAACATGAGCTTTTATTAAAATTTTATGGAATGTAAATATCTGAAAAGAATTGACAACTTTATAATATTAAGACTTCTTATCCATGAACATGGAACATCTTCTTTTAGGTCATCTTTCATATTATCTAGTTAATTTTCATCATAATAGGCCTGGACCCTGATAGATGTATTAATGGTTACTTCATATTCATATTACTATTATAGTTGATAAATGTTTTCATTATATTTTCTAGTTAGTGTCATTAAAATATAATGATTTTGTGTTACTTCTTGTAATTTACTGTAGATCCTTTTGTTTTCTATGAATAATTCTGTCATCTAAAAATAATGAGATTTTAATAACCTTATTTTCAATCCTTACATATTTTTAAAATTTAATTGTATTGTTTATGGAATATTACTGTACTGTCAAATTATTGTCTACAACTCTAGTACAATGTTGATTGAAAGTGATGATATTAGGGCATCCTTGCCTTGATCCTGATCTTTAACTTTTCACCATTAAATATAATGTTTGCTGTGAGATTTTGGTAGATTTCTCTTCATCTACTTAAGAAATTTCATTCTTCTTATTTTGCTAAGATTTTTGTCATGAATGGATGTTTAATTTTATTGAAAACTTTTTCTGCATCTATTAAAATGCTTTTTCCTTTTTGATTTGTTACTGTTATAATGATTTTGTATATTTAACCAATTTTCACCTATTATATAATTGCCACTTGATGATGATATGTTATCTTTTTAATATATTGCTGAAATTCATTTGTTAATCTTTTATTCAAATATGTTGCATCTATATTCATAATTGAGTTTAGCTGTAGCCTACCTTTCTTATGCTATACTTGTCTACTTTAGAATTAAGGGTTATATTAACCCCATAAAATGAGGTAGGGAGTTTTCCTTAAAGAAAAAAAAGACATTTTTTTTTAGAACAGTTTTAGTTTCACAGAAAAATTAGAGGAAGGTACAGAGATTTCCTATACACCTTTTGCCCCAATACATGTATAGCCTCTCCCATTATTGACATCCCACACTAGAATGACATGTATTTACAATTGATGAACCTACATTGATACATCATAATCACCCAAAGTCCATAGTTAACCTTAGGGTTCACTCTTGGTGCTGTACATTCTATGGATTTAGACAAATGCATGACATGTATCCATCATTACAGTATCATACAGATTTTTGTGTCATATAGAATTATAGTATCATACAGAACTATAATAGTATACAGAATATTTTCACTGCCCTAAAAGTCCTCCCTGCTCCACCTATTCATCCCTCCCCTTAACTCCTGGTAACCACCAATGTTTTTATTGTCTCCATGATTTTGCCTTTTCCAGAAAGTCAAAAAGTTGGAATCATACAATATTTCATCTTTCAGGTTGGCTTCTTTCACTTGGGCATAGGCATTTTAGGTTCCACCATGTCTTTTCATGGCTTGACATCTCATTTGCATTATCTGGATGTACCACAATTTATTTATCCATTTACCTACTGAAGGATATTTTGGTTGTCTCCAGATTTTGACAGTCATGAATGAAGTGGCTATAAACATCTATGTGCAGGTTTTTTGTGTGGACATAAGCCTTCAACTCCTTTGGGTAAATACCAGGAAGTCGACTGCTGGATCATATGGAAAGAGAATGTTTAGTTTTGTAAGAAATTGCCAAACTGTCTTTCAAAGGGACTGTTCCTACCAGCATCAGTTTGCATTCCTACCAGCATGAAAGTTCACATTGCTCCACATCCTTGCCAGCATTTTATGTTATCAGTATTCCAGATTTTGTGTACTGGTATCTCATTGTTGTTTTAAAATGCAAATTAGAGATGCTGTGGAGCGTCTTTTCATTTCCTTATTTGCCTTCTGTATATCTTCTTGTTTTTCTTTATTCTATGGGAAGATTTGTATAATATGAGAATTAGCTGTATCCTGAATATTTGGTTGAATTTTCCTGTTATATCAGTTAGGATTCAATCAAGGAAGCATACCACTGGGTATGAAATGAAGAGTTTATTATAGATATTACATGTTACATAATTGCAGGAGGAGCTGGGAAAATAAGGTCCAGACAGAGGATATGGAGGATCAGAGAAAAGTCACTGATCAGCCCCCCTGATGCAGTAGGATGCATGGATAATGTGAAGTTTGAAGAGAAATCTGTAAATCCATGCACTCCCATTTGCTCTAATGGGAGCATGAAGCAGAGCTGATGGGAGGTCAATTGATGACTTTTGCATCTGTGTCTAGTGGTGGGCCTGGGATCACTGCTGTGCATTGGGGGCAATAGGAAAAAGAGATGAATGCCAGGTAAGCGGGAAAGAGAATGATCTGCAACCTGACAGCAATCACCACAGGGAAGAGTGAGGACTAGCTGGCACTTGTGCATCAGTCTTTGACTGCATCTAACCATGAAGACCAACTGAATCACAAAAATCACACACACACACAAAAAACACTATAAAAAAACAATAACAAAGTGTATTGTAAATCATACAGGGGTGAAATTTTGGGAATCAGTTTATTTACCAAGTTGACACAATGCAAAGCTACCACATTTATAAACCTTGCTATTTTCCTTATGGGAATATTTTTAAATTTCTTTAATGCATTTAGGACTACTCAAGTTTTCTATTTCTTTCTCTGTCAGTTTTGGTTAGCTGACTTTTTTTTTTTTTGGCAATTGACCATTTGGCCTGAATTTGAAATTTTATTGTCATAAAGTTATTCATACCATTCTCTTATTTTTTAACTTTCTACCACATCTGTAGTTTATGCCCTTTTCATCCAAAACATATAGGTGTTTATTTGTTTTCTCCTGATTAATCTTGTCATATATTTGTTAAGCTTTTTCAAACAACTAACCTATGGTTTTTTGATTGTTTATTATATTTGTCTCCTGTTTCAACAATTTCCATTTTTATCTCTGTGATGTCTTTGCTTATATTTTCTTTGGATTTATTCTGCTTCTCTTTTTTTAACTTTTCAGTTGAGTTCTTCCCAATTCATTAATTTTCATTAATCTTTTTTTCTTTATAATATAGATAAGGCCATAAAATTCTCTCTCAATGTCAGTTTTGTTATATGCCATTGTTTGTGGTATATAGAATTATTACAGTTGTTAAGTTCCAGGGGTTTTCTAATTTCTATTATGATTTCTTCTTTGATCTATAAGTTATTAGAAGTGTTTTCATAACTTCTAAGCATTAATTATTGCTTTATTATTTAAATCTAACTGAATTTCATTATGGTCAGGCAATATGGTCTGTATCACTACATTCATTTGGTCTTGTGAAACTTATTGAAGCTACATCATGGACAGCACATATTAATTTTCATGAAGTTCTCTGTGTACTATATATTTCCAGTTCTAATAATCATACTTAAAAGTGTTATATATCCTCACTAATTTTTTTGTCTCCTTCGTCTGGTAAGTATGAAGAGTGGTATGGTAAAATATCCTGCTGTGATGTTTTCTTCAATAATTCCAGTGAGTTTGTCAGTTTTTTTGCATTACATATGAAGCTGGTTATTAAGCATATAGGATTTTAGGATTATACTATGTTTCTGGCAAATCGAACATTTTATCATTGTGAAGTATTTTTTGTCTCTAGTAATGTATTTTATTATTCATCTTCACTTAACTTCAGCTTTGGATACTATTTGTCTTTAAGAGTAAGTAAAATGGAAAGAATACTGTCCATGGAAGAAAATTCATAGTTTGGGTGTGAAATTTAATGAGGCTAAATAAGGTAGTGAATACAAAAATCCTTTGTAAACAAAAAGCACAATGCAAATATAAGATAGAACTCTGAGAAAAATATGCTAATTCTACAGATGCAAAGACTTTCTGACTCCAGTGCAAACCGTCATGTGTCAAACCCCATTGAAAGGGCCTAGGAAGAAATGATATTTGGATATAAATGATTTAAAAGCTCTATCTCTGCCCAGTTCTTTAGGTGGTATTTACTCTGTAAATGTTATTAAACTCTTTTCAATATACATTTACTATCAAGGTAACTGACAGAGGCATGAGAGCTGACAGCTTGAACGTCCACAAGAAAAGTAATATAAATGATAGTTAAAATATTTAAACTCAAGCCCTAGGGACCCCTAATAGTCGGAGCACGCTGTTGCAGTTGATAGGTAATGAAGCTCTTCTGTGATCAAGAAGATGAATACCTAATGATACACAACATGTTTTATACGATAAAGAGTGCTATCCTAAATTGATAAAAAAAATTTTTATTTGGTGTTTAAAGCACTAAAGCCTATCTTAATATCTTAGTGGTAAAAATAACACCTTAGTTTGTATGGGAGCTCTCTGCGACTTAACGCTGTTTCACACAAAGGAGGCCTCATTTCAGAGCTCAGAAAACCAAGGTGCAAGTACTTGACTCACTGAAAACTCTGAATGGTAACGGTTTCACTATGCTTTCATTATTTTGGTAGATGAATGGTATAAATGAAAATTAAAGAGCCCAGATAATTCAGACATTAATCTGGGATTTACAACTCTTAGTTTAGAATGTACCCGAAGGCTTCATTGTCAAGTGGGGCCTAATGACCACCAGCTATAGGACATTTTCTTATTTAGTAATTCATTTGCTTCCTAAAGTCTCTGTTTCAGATATGTGAGTGATTAATGTAAGATTAAATGTCCATCACATATTTTCCTATTGAACTACTCTGTTGCTAGCATATGTCTACTAGTGACAGGAGCCCCGTCAAGTTCCAAACAGGAAAGTATGCTGCTTCAAGCATGTCTGGAGCTGAAGAGCTCAGGATGAAATTATGCAGAGGAGTTCTCATTCAATGACTTTAAAAAAAAGGGGGGGAAAGAACAAACCAAAACAAAATCTTGTCTGTCTCAGCTTACCTTGAAAGGACTAAATTTTTCCCATTCTTTCAAAATTTTTGCTTGGCTTCCTTTTTAAAGGATTTATTATTTAGTGCTTTTAACACATTTTCCATTTTCATACAATAATCATTTATTCCCATGAAAAGGATATGAATTGAACATGAAGACTAATAGGTGGAACTGGAACCATAAGGTTTCAAAAGAATATAGTGTATCATGCCTTCATTAGGTGCTAGAAAAGAGGGCAAAATGCTCATTTTAGATGTAGTAGGTGACATTTAGTCAAACAAAATCACAGACATTATGCACAATGAGACCGTGCGAGTTAGGGAATAAAAATATTCAGTCTGGAAAAAATGTAAATCAAATGTCATAGATGAAAGTGCTTTTTTTTAAAAATACAAATTTTTAAAAGAGCTTATTTCTGCCAGAAACATGGGGCTACAAAAATGAAAACTATCGCTTGAGGGTGACTTGTTGAACTAAAGAACACAAAGAATGTTTTTCTTTAATCTGACCAGAGAGAGAATGTCAGAGGCTGGTCACAGACTTAACATAGTCCCACTTTATAAGGTATCAAATCCATTAAAGAGCTTGAAGGAAACAGGGATTTTCTTGTTCAAAGATAATGCTCTTTGACCACAGATGGTCTATGGGGTCCATGTCATCTCTTTGGTTATGGTTGAAATTCTAAAAGAAAGAGGGCCTAAAGTACAAAATAGAATGTAAACCCTTAAAGCTTCAAAAATGCTCATTTTGTGACAATGAATACTTTCCATCATTATTGGGAAAATTATAAGCATTGTTTTTCTGAGGTAGTTCACTCATTAGGAATCAAAGGCAGTCTTCTGATCCTCCAGGTCCCAAGTGTCAATAAGAGCAAAATGAATACAGAAAAACTTAAATTAACTGGGGAAAGAGGTCATACGAAATAATGAATTAACGTAAATTATCCTCCCCACCACCAAATCATTATTAAAATTTCTAAGAAGTATCCACTTGAAGAGATGTGCTTCAAACTCCTTTTTATGCTGACTTCTGGCATAACCAAAGCCCAAGAAGTTGAAGAGAAATACAAGAAAACATAGAAGGGACTAGTTAATGCATAAGCTGAATGCATAAAAGGCACTAGACTAAAGCAAAGGGACTACTTAATTCATAAACTGAATAACTCAGAGCCCCACACAATCCACAATGATGGTATTAGATTGTGTAATTTGTAGTAACAATGTCTTGGAATGAACATGTGAAATTTTACTTTATATAATTAGTTCTCAAGTCCTTTTTAAAAGAGTAACAATAGCAAGCTTGACAAATCACTTTGGTTCAACTCTAGCATCAACCCCTTAGACTATAATGTGTAATTTAGCCATGTGTACAATATATTTTTGTTTTTATAGTGATTTTATTTAAATAGTTAAAATATATTGATTGTTCATAATGAAAATAGAGCTGGCAATTTGCTTACAATCTCATATTTGAAAATAAGTAAAAATTCTTTGCAAACAATTTTCTGTGGGGCAAGGGAGAGTATGACTGAGAAACAAAGTCTCTTGGGTAATGTTTTAAAAATTAAATGTTTTCATTCAATAATTTTAAAATAGAAAAATAAGCCATCTAATTCTGAAGAAATCAGTTTCAAAGTTAGTACATTTTTCATTAATTTATCATAATTCATGCTGCAAAACATGGACCTCACAAATGATGTTAAATGCTTGCAATGTATTGTAACAGTAATTTTAATACTCTAACCACCTCATGAGATTGAGATAAATATTCTGTCCAGATAAAACAAGTTCCTTTGTGGCTGACTGGTCAGTGTGACTCCCAGCTTTGACCCCAGATGTCCCTGGGCTGCAGTCCACACGGTTTCTGTGTTGACGGTGCTTCAGCTTCTAATGAGTCACCCAGTGATTCTCCCATTACTCTTCCTTGGAAATCTGCAGTGAGACTCTGAAGGAAGAACAAAAGCAGAAGTACATATTTGTCTTCAGGACACTGATTAGGTGATTAGTCGTAGAGATTATGGAACCAAAATCTGTATTTTTCCTCTACTTTTTGAAATGAAGCACTACTGTCCATCGATAGAGTGTGTGCTTCTGGACCCTCCCCTGAACTCCAGTTTTCATTGAGTCGGCTCCATTTGGTGTGGTGGATCCAGGGGCCTTTGTTGCCATGATGGGTTAGCTGACAGAAGAAAATGTGGCTTCCCAACTTCCACAGCAGTGGGCTGTGCCCCACAGGAGGGAAGACGGCAGCTACACCCCACTGCTTGTGGATAGGAGCCTGTATCACTGGGCAGCGGAAGGCAGTGTCTGTGCTCTGTGCCCATGCACATCTGGGGCTTCTTCACCCAGGACACCGCTTGCACTAACCCTACACAAAAGGAAAAAGAAATTTCAGCATTCACGTCATTCACAATGTCCAAGAGAGACCGTGAGAGTAGAGGCTGGAGAGGAGGCCTGAAATGTGAGACACAGTGAACCCATTCCCAAACCATCTGGACCCAATTAAAAACAGTTTTTTTCTTACTTGGTTGAGATTATTCAGAGGACTCTGCTACCTGACATAGCTCTCTACCTTTCTCTGTACACGTCCTTTCTCACCATCTGGACCATAAGTGACTTAAGAACAGACTCAGGTTTTTAAATGCACCTGCACTCCTATCCCCTAGCAGGCACTCTGCTACCCTGGCATGGTGCTAACTTAATCTACCCCAGCTGATGCAGCGAATGTGGTTCTGTAGATCCACAACAGTACAGCCTGTGCTTTAATGGATTTTTCAGGAGCAGAGAAGGAATTGGCTCCAAGCCAGTCTTGATCTTTTATCGCATTCTCCACTCTACCTCCTCACCTCTGATCTCTCTGTGCACTTGCACTACGGGCATTTATGGGACAGCTGGACATGATCGGGAATGTGATCACCCATAGTGGGAGACAGGTACATGAATCAGTCAAATTGTCTGCAGTTGAGTGAGCAAAAAGAGAGAGATTCTAATCTATTCCCATGTACTCAGTGAACTGAGTCCCTAGCTCTTCTTTTGTGTTTAAGCATACTCTGGCAAAAATCACCATACTACTGATTAACTTACATAATTATATGTACCTCTGAAGTGGATTACCTTTGTAACAAAGAACCATGTGTTTTCAGCTCCTCAAGAAAAGGTAGTATGTAACTACAAGATAGTCTGTTATTTTCTAATAATGCTACTAATAAGCATCCAAACACCCAAGCTTTTGAAAATGCTGAATGTTTTCACTATCCAGGTAATAACACTGGTAACAGCTTATATATAAAACTATGATACTTATTGTAGTTTTAATATCAGTTCTTTGGTGTACCTTATTTTCAGGGCCTTCCTCCAATCAGAAAATAAAGTTCTACTGAAGTTGAGTTACATGGCAACATAAGAATGAAGAGAATTTAGAGTGATTTTTTTCAAAACAAAGTCCTCAGATCTCTCTATAAGTAATCTGAGGAGGGGAGTGTTGTAGTACATGCATGGAAAGGGCAAATATCAGAATATGTAAGTGGAGCTGAAGCCCCACTCATTAGCAGAGAAACTTTTTGTCAGCTCAAAGTTTCTCTGAACCCTTCTAAAGCCTTATGATACAAAACATGTTTAACATGTTTAACCTTATCCTCTGACTGATGAAAAAGGACTATGATATCCAAGCCCCAAGCCCAAGGTGCTTATCATAATACAACCCTTGGCTAAAAGTACGATCAAAGAATACCTAACTCCATTTCTAACTGAAGCAGACTGAGTTCCAGAACAGCCAGGGAACCTGGGTTGATTTTATGGCCCCTCCTCCAGTGGCTTGGCTGGACTTCACAGGTGGTCAGGCATATCTGGCTGAGGGCTAGTCCCCGATGAGACTTGAATAGTCCCCACTCCTCAGGAGAACCCCGTAGGTCCACTTAAATTCACATGTACCTTTCTACTAGAACACGGAACACATTTTCTTGGAGCCATCTACAATTTCACTGGGACTACACCTACATCTACCGATACAGACCCAATCCAAGAGGGACCTCAAGACTCACCCTAATTGAAAATAAGGAGTCATTCATTGTGTGTTTGCTCAAAGGGACCTAGCATAGTGCTATGGGATCAGAGTTTTGAATGAACATGGTAACCTCACATAAAGCAGGTATCCAGTCCAAATATATTTCTCTAAAGCTCTATGGCATTCCAGTACAGCCCAGCTGCTCACATAGTTTATAAAATTTAACTATATTTTTCTGTGCTTAGATGAGACTTTTCACATGCAGAATATTCAGGATCCAGGTAAAGATAGCCATTCACCAGGCTCCAGGGAGGAAAGCTGGCCAACATCTGCCACCTGACCATCTTTGAGGGCCACAGGTTGACTCCCATTCCTGAGGTTCTCGTGTTCCTTTAAAACCACAAACTGCAGAGAACAAAAAGGGAGGGAGAGAGAGAACACTGTTACAATTCATAAGTTATCTAAATATACATTAAATCAAAGTCTATGGCTCCATCATGCTCATCCTATGGAAGGTATAAGCAGAAAGAAAGAACCTGTCAAATTTATCTCTTGCTAATGAAAGATCTGCTTTTCAGTTAGGAACCTTATGTTACTGTCTATTAAAACGCCTAGGCACTACCAATACCTTTCCTGAAGAATGTATTCTAATTCTAGAATCCCAGATTTGGGGTATGGATCCCTGGGAGTTACTGTTTTAGTTTAAGCAATCAAAGAATCCATAACGTTTTAAGCCTAGCTCATAGGCCAATAACATCTCATACACGTATGTGCCCCAACTCTTCAAATATGTGTGTGTGTGTGTGTGTGTTTAGTAATACAATTCACTTAAACGTCGAGTTCTGAATACTTTGGGGTCATTAATAGCTAATAATAACTGATAGTGCAAATATTATTTTGCAGGGATCCACCAAATGCTTTTTTGGGGGTTGAACAGTTTGGGAACCAGAATTCGAAAATGCAGGCCCAGAAAAAGACACTTCTCTTTAGTAAAAAAAAAATATTATTTTTGTCTTTATTTGTACTAACCACAACTGATAGGGCATTTGCAGTGCAGGCTGTCCAGAGTTCACAGATAGATTGGACATTAAAATAGATTAATGACAAAAGGAAAAAAAAGAAGGTACCATGACAAAGGGTGTCCTTTGGCAGTCCCTCCTTCCTCCCTGCCAGCCAGTGGCTCCACAGAGGGACAGTGCCCAGGTTTGAATCACTGTGCTCCCCCACTGGCTCAGAAATGCGCCTCCACAGGAAGGAGCCCCTGACTCAGAAGTATGAAGATGAACAGGGAATAGGAAAGAAATCTTCTTGCTCATACCTCTTTGAGAAAAGTGTAGGAAGTAGTAAACAAGTGGAGTCAATTAGGGATAAAAATGTTGGTAGCGGAAGGGTGAATCCCGTGAGCATGTGCTTTTATTTGCGTATTTTCTGTAAGACTAATTGCCCTTTGCTGCATCCTCCTTATTAATGGTCTCCCTGCTGCAACATACTGAAAAATCAGTACATGACCCACTGTTTAAGGGCACATGCCCATTATTTCTGTCAAGGCAAAATCCAGGCCTCCATGCTGCAAATTTTCCAACCGCATGTTTTCTGCCAGAAGACCGTAGTCCCAGAATTCTGGCCTGAGATGGGGAAGGCTGCTGACAGAACCAGATTTGTTTTGCTTCCCCTCCCGACTTAGGGGCTCACTCTCTCCTGCTCTTGCCGATATGGGCGGCAGCAGTTGACATCAACGAGCTCAGTAGCCCTGGCCTCCTATCACAGCTCTGAGCTGGACAAGCCACTTATGACAGCCACAGGTGTTTTTTTTTTTTTAATTAAAAAAAAAACTAGATATTGTTTCTCCTTCTCTCGCATGATTTCAGTAAGATGAATTAAACTTGCTACTCAAAACCTAAATGAAATACCACGTAAACTGACATGTGCATCCTAGGTAATTAAGAAGTCAACAATATCATGAGAACTCAAAGAACTGAGGCGATTCTACAGCTAAGTGCCCCCAGACCCACACACTTACAGAGCCTAAAGAAACAGAGGGATCTTAGAACTCAAGTAACCCAAACCCCTTGGTGTCCTGAGGAGAAACAGGAGTTAAGTGACTTGATGAAGATTAGACAGCCACTTGGTGGGAGAGCCAGGCTCTTAGTCCTTATTTTATTTTCATACTCAAGTTTCAACCAAAAAATAAGTATGCAATGAATGCCTACCACAGGCAGGGACAAATGATCACCTGTTATTCAAAAGCATAGCCACAGGAAGGCTATCCTCTGGGAAAGCATGGGGAGATGGAGGCAAAGGACTGGGAGAATGACGTGGGAAGGACCTCGAATATTGCCTTTGCCCCTCAATAACCTCTCCCAATAGCCTTTTCCCTATTTGCCCATAAGCTTTGATCCCCACGGACCACCCTATAGTCCAGTCACTTGCAATATATGTGCCACGAATAATACCAACAGCACAAACTGGACTAATCAGATTATCTCTGACAGGTTTCTGGAAAGGGATATCCCAAATTTTAACAGTGCTTAGCCTGTCCCAAGTCTGCCCTCTAGTGTTCCCAGACCAGTTACTGAGTGGGTCATCTAGAAAGCATTTTGATTTCCAAACACTATGCTTTTTGGCATATATAAAGGGTTCCAGGGAAAATAGATCCCAAATTAAACTAGAACAGCCAGTTAAGTTTGAATTTAAATCCAAACATTCACTCTAAGCATAAATTCAACTAAGTGTCTTGTACTTTTATTGGCTAAATCAGGTAACAATTCTGTGGCTGAAGTTTAGGAACTTAAAATTTCTGCTTGAAGACAAGAAATATTAAGAAAATTAGAGCCTAATCCTGGGGTTTTTTAGACATCCATTTGAAAAGGATCGCCTAAAAATAGGGAAAGACTTTTCATGTAACACATAAAAATGTAAGCTACATGATAAGAAAAGGATTCCATAAATTTCTTGTGTCATTAAATTATGGCACTATTTTAGCCCATATGATTAGGACACAATTTCCCATATCCACTGCTTGCCCAGGACTTCCCCAGTTGATGTGGTATGGGCTAACATTAACACCTGCTGGAAATTATAATAGATTCCCATCTTCTAAACTTAAGTGAAGAATGAGAAAAAAATGAACTGGGCTTAATATTAAGCCAATTTCTTGTGCATGTACTATGGTCACTTTACCCAAGGTTGGGGGCAAGAGGACATCCCAGCCTCACTGTCTGCAGGCCTGCTACCGCTCTCTTCTCTGCTTGACTCTTCATAAGGATTCTTCAGATTTTCTGATAGCATCTTCTGAGTCCTGAGATAAAGGCAAAATGTGAGACAATCCCAAACAATACACAACTACTACCCACTCAGTGATGCTCAGGGACAACTGCTTTTGCTACTGAGATTTCAGAAGAGAATAAATATTAAGAAAAGTAGGAGCATAACTTTGGGTTTTTAAGGCATTCTTTTTTACAAAAAAATTTCAGTTGCTGTTTCACTCTTTTCAAGGTTCTGTGAGATGTGTGTGAGGTGGGAGGTGGGGGAAGCCATGCATTTAGTCACTCATGAGCATCTATTGAGTACTAACTATATCCCAGACACTGCTCTATTACTAGGGATATAGCAATGGGAAAACAATACCAACAAAATCTCTACCTTATGGACTGACCGTCATTGGGGGGCTGTCCATGGAAATAATGTAATCACAGCAACTGTGGGATACAGACCATAGTAACTTCACTTGGTGGAAGGAAGGTAGCGGTGACCCACCCCTTGGAAGGCACACAGCTACCAAAGGCAGCCCTGGAGCTAGATCATTATGATATAAAGTGCAGGCTTCTTCCACTGGCCTGCTGCCATTTCCTGCTCAGAGGCATTAGAGGCAAGAACACAAGAAGTGGAAGACCCAAGAATACTCTCTCACAGGTGCCAAGCCAAAAAATAGACTAGGTTCCCTGCCTCCAAACATTAAGCACTAAGTCTATACAAGGCATGGTGTCAAGCTCTAGGGAGAAGAGGGGCGAAAAGGAGGAAAATCTACCATTAAGGTGGGATCCCTGTCCCCAAAACAGTAGCCTCCAGAGGGAGAGAGCCAAGTACATAAGCACCAAGCAGCCATTTAAGGGAAGGCCATAAAGGAAACATGGTGGTGAAGGCCACCAGCCAGCCTCAAGATTCCAAAACAGCACTGTTCTCTTGGGCAGACCTAATTCCCTCTAGGAGTGCAATCTTCTGTCAAATAGGCCTGGGACATCTGGGGAACAAAAATAAGGAAAATAGGGGCTGCTGGGAAAACCCCTCCCAGGAACTGTGAATTCAGTGTGACCAATGGTACCAGGAGATGGTATAAGTTGTCATTATCTTTAATCAAAAGTATCAAGGAAAAGATTGAAGCAAGTACTAATATAAACAGTACCAAAGTTACAAATTGTGACAGAATACTTTCTGTTGATTCTCTTACAAAGAGGTCCTCCCAAGAAATCAAGTTTTATGAAGTTAATAATATTCCAACACTTTAAAAATTATTTAGTTCCACAATCATTGATCTTTTGAGAGACATATAAAACAACAGTGTCAAACACTTAATCTTGACAAGACAGGGAAGGAATGACAAGAGGGGAAACAACTGATTCTAACTGTAAAGAAAATCACCTGACATGCCTAACTTAAAGACTATTATTGGTATACTTTAGTGATATAACAATATTTAAACTGGCAGTTTTAACTTGATCTTCTCAGAGTGGATATATTAAAATAGTACAAATGCAGTGAAGCACATAGCTGAAATTGTGCAGTGGGGTAAGCAGCTTTATTGAGCAGAACTATTAGATAAATAACCTTAATTTGCTCAGAAAGAACTTTACAACTCTGATGCATTTCAGGAAAAAGAAAAAAAGGGATTTTTAATGAGTTTTCTTTTTGAAAAAATAGTCCTTACCATTTTTTATTTTATGCATGTGGGTGTCAGAAGCTAAAGACATCTGTATTTATGTATAAAGTCTATACTGAACAGCTGAGCTGGTCTTTGAATTATAAGTAAAAAAATCCTCAGCAATGTGTCATTAACTTTGAATCCAAAGCTCTGAAGAATGTCAATAGAACATAAAACATACTATTCCATAACCAGTAGAATAAGAAAATATACTTAGCAATTATGGCACACACAGACTTAAGTTTCTTGCTTCTATTTTTTCCTGCACTATTTGCCAAGCATCTGCTCTTCTTTTGGCATTTTGTCCAATGAGATAAACTGTTGATTATTCAATACTCTTTCTATAAACACAAGATATCAATTGCATACCAGGCTAAAAAGTGAGATGAATTAAAATTTCCAAATTTGACAGAAGGAACAAAATAGCAGTAGACTCATAGACACTGAGAAGGGACTAGTAGTTACCATGGGGGAGGTATTGGGGGAGGTGTGTGGGAAGGGGGAGGGGGACATAGGGGCACAATAATTTGCAATCACAATAAAAGTTGGTCCCAGGGACAGTGGTACTGCATGGAAAATATAGTCAATGATTCTGTAACATCTTACTATGTTGATAGATATTGATCTCACTAGATAAGGATTTAATAATATAGGTGACTGTTGAACCACTGTGTTGTATATTCGAAACCAACGTAAGTTTGAATAACAATGACACTTTAATAAAAAAAAATTTCAAGTTTGTGCCTGAGAATCTTGTCTCTCAAGACATAAAAGGGTTTGGAACAGGTTACTCTTTTGGGAAAGATTACAGTTCAAGGAAAATCATAGTAATTACAACAGATAATTAATTCGACTTAAATTAACTCAGTCTCACTCTAACTCTTGACGTAACTACTATTCTTTGCCCTCATTTTATAAGCAAAGGAAATTAATGAAAACATAGGTTAGATAACATACCTGATGTTACTTAAGCATGAACTGGCTGTTGAATCTGAGCAGTCTGATTCTAGAGTTCACGCTCTTAACCACTACACTAGGATATACCAGGGTCTCAGACCAGAACATCGTGGGTGGTATGCTGAATTCTTCATAATATGCCAGTTGCCACCTAAGTGGTTGTGTAGTACCAGTAGGTGTGGTTAGATTTTTATCAGCAGGTGATGGCACAGTTATTCTGTACCTTCCCAGACAACTGGGACCTATTAGTGAAGTGGGTCTTAGGTTCTTCAGCCATAAAAAGATGAGACTGAATTAGATAATTATCTTTTAAGTCCCCTTCAGCCCCAAAGTGTCAGGACTTACTGATTTTTTACAGCACAAACTATAACAATGCAGAAAATACTTGTCAATATTGATGATAGTGGGAGATGCTGTCCTACTTTTTGAGAAAATGGAAAATGAGCAAACAGTGCCTTTTCCTTCACTCTAATGTAGTAGTATTTGTTAACTGAATGTATAAATATTAATTTTTCCACAGTTTTTAACTTTACCTTGAAATTGTTATAAACACAAAATCCAAGGACCAGAAACCTCTTCAAATTATGGAAGACACTGAACGAAAGTTAATACTTGGTGGGAAGTCAGTTTAGTGGATAGCAGCCATGAAAAACCAGTCATGCATGCTACAGGGTGGTGGGGGTAGTAGGGGAAGCAGGGTTAGCTAAGAGAAAAAAGTGGAATACAAAAGCGCATTATGTTAAGTAACAACTCCATAAACTATACAGGTATCAGGGCTAAGGCTGGAATGGGGCAATGGAAAGTAAACCACTGTTTTCCAGCTGTGAAATCCTAGGCCACGTACTAAGGGCGTACCAGCTCCTCTGAAGGAGGCGGGCACTCCGTTAGAAGGAGCTGGGAAGAGGTGGGAAGTGACAATGGAAAGAAAGGGTCACCTGTAGTAATGGGCCCCACACAGCCCCAGGACCAGCATCAGGACCAGTGCCACCACGCAGGCGGCCGCCACCGTGACGTTCCTCTGCCGCCCGTGGCCGGCGTGGCGCAGCTCCCACCTCAGGTCTCGGTACTGGCAGCGGTCCCCGACGAAGCCTACGGCGCACCTGTGACAACACACAGGCAAGGTCAGCCAGCAGCCCTGGCCCAAAACGCTTCTGTTTTTCAGGCTCAGTATACAGCCATCTGCATTTCCAGACTCAGCTCGTTGGAAGCATATGGAAAATCCATCAGGGGTCAGTTGAAAGCACTCTGCTTTACAAGTAACGCAGCACGGACTTCCACCTTTGGCTGTTTGCCCTGGGATTGATGGGGATTATTTGCATGCCGCCCCTGTGAGGCACTGCGAACACTGACTGTAGATAAATTTCTGTTAGTCTAAAATCCTAGGGAGCTACCTTTAAGCCAACACAAAGCAACTCTGCCTTAAGAGTCAAGAGTTTTGGAACAAGCTGCAATAAGTAAGGTCAAAGAAAGGAAGAATTTAAAGACAGACTCCCTCACTCGAGACTGGGCTCTAAAAGAATGTATGTGTGTAGTCTCTGAATTGGCGGAAGAAACATGCTTTCATTTTTTTTTTAAATCACCACTGACAGAAGAGGAAAGGTCTCAGTGGCGACACATAAGTGTTTGTCTGCTTTCTTTAAAGGAGAAAAACCAAATGGTAGGAAAAATGGGGCCTTCAAGTCAAACGTCAGTGAAACTGTAGCTGGAGTTATTACCTGCCACCAACACACGCTGTGACCCTTTTAATGAAAGTATATGAAACAATGCTGCCATCTACTGGGAATGTGTGCTTCCAGCAATTAGGAAACCTTGCGTAGAACGGTTATAGTCTTTTATTCTTCACAAGAGCATAAACTTTTCTAATATCTTAGTAAACATTTTGTGATGCTCACTTGTTAGGAATTTCTTCCCCTTGGCCCTGGATCAACTATCTATATATCCATGTTTCCACCTTATTCCAAAAGGACTCAAAGGAACAAATACACAGAGAAGGGGGACGGGTGGGAAGAGGCTGCATGCAAAAGCACTTAGACAAACCTTCATCAGATCTAGACTCTAGTCCCAGTTCAACCTTGAGTTGGTTGAGAGCATTCGGGAGCTGCTTTCAGAGAGAGAAGGGAAAGGAACTGGCATTTCTTAAGCATTTTATGTGCCTGACACTGTGCTAGGCACTTTTATTCATTTTATTTTCAAGAGCATATCCCCATTTTAAGGATGAGGGAAGTGAGGCTCAAAGGGGTTAAGTAATTTGTAACAGGTCACACAGCTGGTGAATGGCAAATTCGATTCAAATGGTTTTCTGATTTCAGAGCTCTTGTTCTTTCTACTCCTTTACGCTGCTTCCCAGAAGAGTTTTAAGCTCTATGCACTTCTGAAAAACTGTTCTTCTAGAAATGATCATGCAAAGATGTCAGGATCTGAGTATAGGGAGTATAAGGGATCATCAAATTATTCCAGGCTTTCCTGGATACTTTTATACTCTAGCTATCTTTGATTATAGGTATTTACTATCAGTGCCTAGCAGCCACTTTTGAAGTGTTCTGTGTTAATGGGCCATGCCTCTGATCCTCTCAGAGATTTTATGGCCTCAAGGAATATGCTAATCATGTGGGTGAAAGTCCCTGGGCAGCCAACGCAGGCTGCAGTATCTCTGGGACCAGCAAAGCCCAGGGCAGTCAATCAGCATTTCACAAGGGTGGCTACATACTATTAGTTCTTTGGGTTATTAATGAGTTTTATTAAACTATTAAAAAAAAAGAGTCCCTGGCCAAATAAATGGGATTTGCCATGGTCAAATAATTTCAAGAAATTCTGGATTAAATAAAGCTCAACAAGGCTTTTTCACGCATTGGTGTACCATGATCAACAGCGGAGGCCTAGACTAGGCAGTCAAATTGATTTGACCACACAACCTTTTTCATGAAAATTTCACAGGACTAGTGATGGGGGTACCTTGGTCTACAGGAGACCTACCCGAAAGGGTGTAGGTTGGTTCAGAGCCAAACCAGAATGAGTTGAGGAACTCTGAGCTCAGGAGGGTGGTTATCTGAGACTGCCCAGACCAGGCAACCTCCGAGGAAGACCTTGGACAGGAGACTCTAGGCTCTCAGCCTCTGCACCCAGGCGTCCAGGGGCTCCCTCTCTCGGATAGAAGCCGCCACTGCCACCAAGCAAGGAAGGAAGAGCAGCCCTTTGTAAACCTGCTTGCAGCGTTAAGAATACTGTCTGAGGAATGATGCCTATGAAGTGTTTCTTTAAAAAAGCTGGGCTGGTAAGCACTCCCTAGAGATGCGTTACTATGGAATTTTAAACATACAAGGTGAGGTCCTAGGGGCAGGAGGGGAAGGGTTCAGTGTTTGACTTAACCACATTTGTATTAAATGAACCAAAGAAACAAAAGTTTTGATACAGATTAAATGGGAACTCTGGTGATATTTTAAATATTGCTTTTGATTAAAGGTCCCTAAATTTGAGTGTTACATCCAGTTTAATTGTACATTTTGTAGCGGCTCATGTTTAAAACATTATCAGGGGAATATGATACTTTCATCAGGATTTAATGACAGAAAGAAAAGCAGGGTGCTGAAGAGTTCATAAATCATTTAATGAATCGATGCTTTCAGGCCCAAATGAAAATAACCTACCAAATGAAAAACATAACCCCTCAGGACCCTTCAGATCACTGTAATGTCTTCTGTGACATAAAGTATCATAGAAAAAAGGGAATCATGACCAGTAAACGAGGACATCTGTTTTCATACCTTCATGATTTGGTATATTAAAAAACCATGAACAGATAAAAGAACTTGATTCTTAATATCAAAATCAAGGAAAATTATTCTGAGCACTAGACTTATCTTAGGTTAGAAAATTGCAGCATGCAAATATGAACATGAAGGCAGAATTCTACGAGAACAGAGTCACTTAGGTTAATATTCATGAATACTTTTCATTATTTTTGTCTGGCTGACATGATTTATAAGGCAATGCCATACATTTTGTCACAGAACATAACTTCTAATAATTTAGACTTTGTTTCTGCTGATTTTTATTGATAAAAATAATAAAAGTCTCTACAGCTTATAGCATCTACTCATGATGAGAGAAAATTATCAGTAAGTCCAGAGTCTAGCCATAGGAGACCTATTTATTTTTAGTACCTGTCAATTCTCTCATATTGCCTTCCAAATATGAAATTCATTAAAAGCAAAATTTGGTGCGGAACTAGATACTGAGTGTTGATTTTTCTAAAGGCTGTGAGGGAAAGGTGTTCGGAGTGAGTGTGGAAGGAGTGGCCCACAGGTCAGGTGACCCTCACGCCTACTCCTCAGGTTGACACTGTGCCCACTGAAACCATCATGGGGGCAAGAAAGGAGCAAAAAGGAGCAGTTGCTGCATCCACCCCTTGTTACTACACAACAACAGTGTAAATGTCAACTATAAGGAAGTAAAGAGAATTCTTTTATAAGGTTTTGAAAATTAAAGGCAAAAAGGGTAGTGTGAATATATAACACTTTTGTACATTCAGAAACATGTCGTGGATGCTCTCCATGTATTTGGCAGAAAATAAATCAAAGTTTTAAGGAATTCTCTCATGAACCTAAATGTTTCAACCAGAGTGAGAAATTTAACCTCCAGACTGTTTTAGTAGCAAAAGCGAGTTATTTAAGTAAGAGAAAATCACCAATTCCTTACATTTATGTGTATCACCGGCAGCTAGGTGCTGTGGGGGTGTGATATCCAGGGAGGGTGCAACACAGACACACACAATTTATACATGTGTACTTTGATGTTTTTCTCTAAGGAAAAACCTAATTATAGAAAAATCTCAATATAGATTTTATAAGACATCTAAAAGTTAAGGGCTGCAATATCATATCTCTGTGCCGTCAGAAAGACAGCTTAACTTACCTGCATGCATAGCTGTCAACTTCCTCAATGTATATGCACACACCATCATTGAGGCAGTACCCGTCATGAGATGGGGGACATTCCTTGTAACTATTTCTCACAGAATAGTGGCCATCCGCCCCTAAAAGAGAGGGTGGAGTAGAGTCTAGAAGAATAAAGACAATACTTTTACTTTCTGAGGTGATTAGTGTCTTTCAGATATCAATATTAGGAACTTGTTTCTGTGAACAAACCCTGTGAACAATTGTGTCTTCCAGTAACAATAGAACTATCAGAAGTGATAATAGTTTCACTTTCCTAACCAGACTTTATGTCATTCAACATGAAGCCAGACACTTTTTCTTTAGGTCCAGTATTATTTGACATAAAGAATATTGGAAGCAAGTAAGAGAATGGTCAATCCAAAATCACTACATGAATCTTGAGTCACTGATCTGATTATAAAAGCACATCTGTCATCCACAAACAGAGTAACCAGGTGAAGTGACAGCTCCTTTTAAGAGGGTCTCACTAAGCAACAGTATCTCCTGTGGCTTATAAACCACCACCAATACACAGTCCATTACCCCAGCATCCTGGAAGTCTTGAAAATTTCTCCCACACAATGCTTTCTTCTAAAAACAACTAAATTTTCAGGGCAACCCTCAAAGACAGGACTAACAACTCTGGCAAAAAAAAAAAAAAAATGCTGCCAAAATAGAGGGAATGCCAAAGTGGTAAAAGTCCCTTTTATCGAATGGTTCACTGCTCAGTAAAAGGAAAACATTAGGGTGTGTAGCTGACTGTATGAATACTAGCAGTCATTCAATACTTTTAAGAAGAGCAAATTATTTGAGAAAAATAATGTGTTATAAAAACCAGATACCCAAGTTAAGCGCAGAACTTTCCTTTCTTAGGATGTTTTCTGCTTGCAGATTTGAAACAGGTAAATAGCTTGCAGAGATGCAGAAAGAGCCCCAGATTCTGGTTTCCAGGGTCAAGAGGAAGCCAGCTCCCCTTCTGGGGTGTCAACGGTGAAAACACCCTTGTGTTATGGGTAAATGGCTCAGGGAGCTGGAGTCGTGTTATTACCATTTAAAAAGAAAGAAAAAAAGAGCCGCAGTTCTAATTCAGATCAAGGAATACTGATTTTTTAAAGTAATATTTTAAAATCCTTGAAAGTAATTCAAAGCACTAAAAGTCCAGACACCCTCCCTGACCTGTCTTGCCCTGCAGAGTTTTTCCAGCAGCTTCAGAAATCAACATTACAAATCAGGACATTAGTTGCATAGTTAAAGAGAACCACTTGTGTTCCCACCTTTATTGAATTGTGAATAATAAAAAAGGATTTATTCCAGATGCTATTAAATTAAGAAAACTCAGCCCATTTCACTTCTCAAGCACAGTATCAACCTAATCAGGAAAGTCAACTTGCCAGCCTGATTGAACCAAATGATTTCTAGAATCTCTAATGCAAATACACTGAGGTACAGTTTTGCAGAACCAAGTCCCTCCCTTGGATCTTGACCACCCACCAACCTACCCGGGCAAATCCGTCCCAGTTCAGACAGGCTGCTAGAGTACACGCAGGTGTAGTTTCCCACTGTATTTGTACAGGTGGAATTTTTCCCACAGGTGTGCATGCCCAGTTGGCATTCATCAATATCTGCCAGGAAAAAAAAGGGAGTAGGGGAAAGAAAGGTGGGGTGCAGAGGAGGAAAAAGAGTCATACAGTTGGAAAACCCAGCATTCTGGGGGGGGCAGGGATGTAATGAGGAGCAGCTTCCATCCTGTCATGCTGCGTTCTCACAGAGACTATGCATTTTAAGATTTAAAAATTCTATCATGAATGCTGGAGAGAGATGAACCGGGTCCCTTGACTGCGGGACCCTCAGGTTTCCTAAGCTCCTGAAATAAGAAAGTGTTCCTACCACCTAAAGGAAAGACATATCAACACAAGTAGCTCAGTAGGAACATAGGACGTTAGTAAACTATCCCCAGGCAAACATTTGTAAGTTCAGATCCTAAATATTCATTCTTAACTTTTGCTAACAGACATCCAGTCATTGACATACATGTTATATCAAATAAAACATTTTTGCTTTTTTTTTTTAAACATAAACTAAGTGATCCTTTCTCTCCTTACTACCCACCTTTTTCTTTCCCAGTTGCCATCACCCTAATATTTAGGTCTTTTCCTCTCTTCAGTTTTACATTACTAATAAGAAGAGCTTTACCACTTTCCCTGCATCCCATCTCTCCTCCTGTACACTCCTAAATGCCAGGGCCAGATGAACCTTCCTAAACCACATTTCCCACCGCTCACCACTTGACTCAAATGCTACTACCATGGCTGTCTGCTGCCTAGAGCTGTTTCTCGGCCTGGCAGCCATCACCGCGTGTGAGTAATGAGCACCTGAACTGTAGCTAGTCAGTACTGAGATATGCTGTAAATATGAAACACTTGCCACAGTTTGAAGACTTCGTACCAAAATAAGAAAAAAATGTAAAGTACTCAATAACGTTTATATTGATTACATATTAAAATGCTAATATTTTGGATATATTAGATTAAATCAAACATTGTAAAATCAAGTCCACCTGTTTCTTTGTACTTTTCTTAATGTGGCTACTGGAAAAATTAAAATTACATATGTGGCTTACATTATATATTATACTGGGTAGGACTGGTCTAGAGAAGTAAAACCCCAGTGATTGACACTTAGTTCTAGTCTTCCATTAATGGAGCTCAACCCACCTGTTACAGACTGAATTGTCCCCCACCTCCCCCAAATTCATATATTGAAGCCCTAGTGTGACTCTATATAGAGATAAGGCCTATAAGGAAGTAATGATTAAGGTTAAATGAGATCACAAGAGTGGGGCCCTAGTGCAAAAGGATCGATGTCCTTATAAGAAAGGGAAAAGACACCAGAGATATCTCCTTCTCTCTTTCTCTTTCTCTCTCTCCAAAAGGGAAAAGACACCAGAGATATCTCCCTCTCTCTTTCTCTTTCTCTCTCTCCATGAACCACAGAGAAAAGGCCATGCGAGTAATGCGGTCAGGAGGCATTCTCACTAGGAACCGAATCAACCATGTTTTGATCTGGGACTTCAAACCTCCAGAACTGTGAGACAATTTCTGTAGTTTAAGCCCCCTGGGCTGTGCAGTATTTCATCACAGCAGCCTGAGTGGGCTAGGACACCACATTGCCAGCCTCAGTGTCTGTTTTCCTGCACACGCAACCCACACCTAGTGCTCAGTGAGGCTATTCTCTACCCCTATGTCTGTGCCTGGAATGCTCCCACCCCTCACACTTCTCTTCTGCCTAATAAACATGTGCTCATGCATCAAGGTCCATCCAAAATGCTACTCCCTAATGAAATCTCTCAGCACCTCAAACAGATACTTCTTCTGGGTCTGAACTTCCATTGCAGTTTTCACTTCTCCTATGAGGCTTACCCTTCATCACCTCTTATCATAGCTATATTTCGTTTAGATCATATTCTCCTTGCAAGCAAGGACTCCCTTCACCATCTCGGTATTCCTCACAGTCCCTAGAACTGTGCCTTTGCACTGACAGGGACAAATTAAATATTTGTGACATTGAATTGCTATCCTGAATGGCTCAAACAGAGTCTTTTTTTTTTTTACTGATTTCCTGTTATAATATCTATGAACTATCACCTTGACAGTGAGAGAGAGCTTCTCCAAGAAGCAAAAACAAAGATAAACTCTTGGCCAAAAAACACAACTATTCTTAACAATAACAACAACACTTTTATATAGCACTTAATATGGGCCAGGTGTGGTTCAGAGCACTAGATCTACATATATGTCCAATCTCCCCCATGATGGCACCACATATATATATATATATATATAGAAAGGAAGGAAAAAAGGGAGGGAAAAAGGGATGCAGACAGAGATGGAGAGGAACAGAGAACAGGAACCTGCCTGTGGCCCCCATGAGGCCTGAGGACTCCAAGCCAAGCAGGCAGGAGTTTGCTACTAGGAGGAGGTAGGTTAGTAACAGTGAGAATCCAGAGTCTAGTGACTTTAAACATCCAAGAAAGTATTCCTGCCTTTCTCTTCAAAGTAAATGAAATATACAGCCTGTTTGACAACATTATCTAGGAGCCCGCTTAATTAGAGCAGTGACATTTTCCTGACACACAGCCAAATAGGTGCTTACAAGAGCATTTACAAATGTCTGTGGGCTCCTCAACAGGAATCTGATAAAGGTCTGATTTAAACCAGCCATGTCCAGAAAACTGGTAGTTATGGCTGCTATTTCATCTTTAACTTCAACATTTTACTTTCTTATCAGGCATCCGCCCTTCACTGTGAAAAGATTTTTATGTTTTCAGAAGGAAAAGAAAATACTGAGACATTTTAAAGCCCCATAAAACTTCTGACTCCTACTTCACTGGGTCACAGTGGCTTCAGGCAGGCCTCCACCTGCATGTGCTGAAGCTATGCCGCTGATACTTGGAATGGTACGAGCCATCCTCTCCTCCCAACAGACCACACCCAGACCTTGGCGGAGGACGGCGATTGTGAAAGAGGTTTTAATCATTCTTTGTTTGTATCTGAATGTCAGAGGCTTCAGTCTCCATCTGTTGAACTTCTCAAGAGCTACCTGGGGAGCCTCTCACAGAAGCACACCTCCTTTCCTGTAGCCCACGGTGGGGTCTTCCAGCAAACCTGTCTCGGCTCTGCAAGCCACTATGGTTCAGTGGCCAAACTCAGGGACTAAGAAAATGCTGTCCAAAATGTCCAATGCCGCCCATGATAGCTCACGGTATGGAGTACTGAGGAGGCGCTGGCAGCACTCGCAGCCGAGAGAAAGAATTGGAAGCAGAGGGTAAACAATTTCGACAGGGTCTTGAAGCTGACTCATGTGGTGAAAGCCCAAGGGCATAAACTCGACTATTTACCAGGAATTGAAATATGTCAGTTTAAACAGGTCACTCAGCTTCTTTTTTAGTCTTAACATGTGTGGCACCCCACGTATATCCTGTCTTGTCTCAGCCCATCACACCCACAGTGCTATGGCCTGCCTCTACCTTCAGCACACAGACTTTCTCACCCAGACAGTGAATCCCATCTCCTCGGTAGCCTTCTGAGCACCGGCAAACGTAGCCACCTTCAGTATTGATGCACTTGGAGGTGGGAGGGCAAACTGTGACACTCACCTCACACTCATCTATATCTGTGGGCAAAATGATGAAGCAGTCAAATATGTAGGCAATCCTGGTATAAGTATAGGAAAGAATAAGTATAACCCTATGCATGCATGCAGTTAATTATCTAAGTCATTTTCCTTAATATCAACTACATCCATGCTGTAATTTTAATATAAGCTCTATGTAATATACCAACATATTATACATTTCATATTTTCTATACATACCCTCCATTATCTTTTTAGCTAATGTCAAATAACTTGTTCAATCCTGCTGATTCCATAAATCTTTCTGGAGGTTTTGAATCAATATGCTCTGAAAGAAAGTTGCTGGTTCACTGTTTTCCAGATATTACATGCATTGGCTTTTGCTCTTACCAGAACATAGTTTTCCATCCCCAGCAAATCCTTTCAGACACTGACACGTGGCATCATCTGCACCCTCTGAAACACACTGCGCCTGCCTGCTGCATCCCACAGGACCACAATCGTCATCATCTGCAGATGGGAAGCCCATCAGATTACTCACAGACCTCAGAGGAGAAAATGGACTTCAGTCATGGGGTCTACAGAACAGTTCAGCACTTCCTATCCCAAGTTCTGGGACAGGTTAACCTCCAAATAAAAACACTTCGTTGACTTATAAGTTATATCTATATTAAGGGATCCACAAGCCATATGTTTCCATTTACATGCTCTGAAAGAATCTTTAGTCTGAAAGATCTATGTGGTGTTCAAGGATCCCTGTGTGAACTTATTAATAATTTTTTAAAAGCATTTGAAAATTTGAACTATAAAATTGCTAGGAGTAAATGGACTCAAATTTCAAGTTTTACTGCTTATTTGAGAATTCCCAACTGTTATGACATACGAAAGGGGTCAATACATCCCTGTCTTCCAAAAGACTCACAGACCAATAAGTAACAAGTAGATCTGTGCACCAACGTGGCAATGAGGTTCAGTCATAGAAAGGCTTATTGTCAACTTACTAAAATGTCTCATATATAATAGAATTGTATGTCACAATGTATCTTTATTATCAAGATTTATGCACTGACTTGCAAACCTCAAGGCACGTTTACAAAATCATGAACCATACAAACTAAATGCTGTAAATGGATCACTTCATTTCATACTCCACTGAAATGCAGATGCCCCAGGGGACAGAGTTGCATGTTGAGCCATAAATATGAGCAAGTTTTTTTTTCCTTTAACTACTTATGTATATAACCATTCTCCAAATGCCTCCTCCTTTTGAAGTTGGAGGTATCTGACATACCACAGTAGGATATAAACTATCATCTCTCTATTCATAAGTAAGTTTACCCATCTGAGCATAGAAGAGGTCAAAGAAGCCTTTCAAACTCACCCATAAATTAAAGAAAGTTAAATGGTCTGAGTAGGATTTAGGTGTCACGCAAATGCAGACATTGGGTAATTGCTTTTGATTTGCTTAGCTATTTGAGTGACAAGATTTCTCTTGTGGGAACACATGTCTTTCATGCTTGCTTGGTCATCTCCTGTCACTCACAACTCTTTGAGATGGATAAGTTCAGACTAAATCAATTACCCATTTGATTCAGCATTTATTTGGAAGACTTAGCTCTCAAATCACAAGGCTGCTCAGAGTGGATGGTGGACAGTATCCAATTACCCAAAATATTTTAAATTACTTCCAGAACCACCTAAAATTAGAATATGCTTCAGGATTTATTTGGTAACTTGCAGACCCCAAGGTGTTTTTGCACAATGAAAAGCAGTGGGTATGCAGCTATGGGGGGATGGACTGTAGCCCAGGTTCCTTCTGCCACAAACTAGCTCAGACAGAATGCTGGGGCTTCCTCTTCTCTAAAATACAGGTGACAATTTCTGTCCTATTGCACATGATTGGTGTAAGGATGTGGAGAAAAAGTGATTTAAAAAAAAACTTTGAGAATTATAAAATAATGTACATAGCTAAATGAGGATGATAAAGAAGAGTATTGAGACAGCCTGAATCAGAATTAGCCTTATCACACTCGAAAACACTCTGGGACCTGTTAGGTAAACTAATAAAATTAATCCATTTAAAAGGACCTACTATGTGCCAGATCCTAATAAGGGCCAAACATGGTGTTGGAAAATACAGACATGGGCTCTGCTTTCTAGAAAAATTAATTATTGAAGTACAGGCTTGATGAGCACTATCAAGAAACATGCAAAGGGGGCTGAAATAACCCTCACCTCACTGGTCAGGAGACTCGGAAAGGCTCTCGGAATGAAAGCACGTTAAACTGAGATCTGACTTGGATGGGATTAGAAAGAGCTGTGTGCGGACAATACCCCTATATATTCCAGGGCAGGTCAGTGTAGCTGAAGCAGGCCATGGAAAGTGGAGGACAGAAGTACACAAATGGAGGCTGGTGAGATGTGTAAGGGCTAGTTCATCTAGGGCCCTAGATAGGCCAGGTGAAAAAATTTTAATTTATTCATGAATTTAGAAGAATTTCTGATTTTAGTGAATTTGACAATGAAACTTCTTGTGATTAATCTCATTGCCATGTTGTGCACATATCTACTTGCTACATAATAGTCATGTGTCTCTGAGGAATAAGAATATACTGACCTGAAATCCAACAGGGAGTTTTTAAACTCTTTTTAGCATAGACAATTTGTTGAAATGAAATCACACTACAAAATATAAATAAATATAACACAAATAGCCTAATACAATTAGAACTGAAACTTTACAGGCCAAGGCAAAATAGATGGCAATCCAGGTGTGGAAAGATGGGGTTGTCTTCATCAAGACAACCAATTACATCTATTCTGCACAAGGCAGAATATAGTTACCAGATACAAAGCCAAACACAGCCTATCATATATGTATTTCAAATCTTTGGCCATGTCCTCACTCCCCCAGTCCACTTATATGCCTAATTTACATCTGTCATTCATCTTGGTCTTTGAGTCCTCCAAATGTAAGTTTTCAAAATATGCTCTATGAACCTCTAGGGAACCCTTGTGACTTTGAAAAGGTTCTCTACACTGCTAATATTTATTTATATTGTTTTATTCTGTCACATTGATTCTTTTCCACATCAGACTGTAACCTTGAAAACTGTGGCTATATTTAGCTCACGGCATCCATAGCATTTAGCACACTGTACAGCAAGTAGTCACTAAACAAATAATATTCCTAATGTGACAATGTTTTCCAGTACTTCTTTTCTTGAAATGAATTAATTATTTGGCCATAATTCTCAAAAATCTTTGCTAAGTCACTAACTTAATGTATCTTAGCCTTAGTTTTTAAATCTGTAAAATGATAAGTTGTGATAAGGATCAAATTAGAGGATAAAATGCCTTGTAAATTCTAAAGCCCCACACAAATTATTATTACTAAAAATATACACCTCTGTATTTTATCAAAAATCACACTGATGACTTCTTAGATGGAGGGGTACTAGGTCTCCAGGATCTCATACATTGGCAAAGTAATCTATAGGCTGCAAAAATCAGAGGAGCGCTTTAAGTGTATTTGATGTCCTAATGTGGTGTTTTCAAGTTTATTTTTAACCACACTTTGTTAAAATAAAATCTTACTCATAAATATAAATAAGTAAAATGTTTCAATGTACAGCTGTACTGATTGAAGGGCAGAGACCTAGAGTGAAGAACAGGTGTGTTCTGCAGAGGTTCCAGGGCCAAGCTAAACCCAGTTTGAAAACCACTGGCCTTGAGCCCTAGAAGCTCTTTCCTCTGGTGCCTGCCAGTCCTGTTCATCAGCAAGTGCCCCCGCCATCACAGCAGGCCAGGCAGAGGGCACCTCCAGCCTTGCAGCCCAGCGCACATGCGGAGCCCAGCCCCGGAGCAATCTCCTCCTGGCAGCCACTGATCCTGCTCGCCTGTGCCCCCGCTATTGTGGGAGGCCAGAGGGAAGGCAGCTCTGCCCACTGCCAGCTCAAGAGAGTATTATCCCTGCTCCAGTAATCAGCTGACAGCCCACACAACCCACTTGAAATCAGAACACCATGAGCAAGACAGACAGATGCCACACCAACTGCAGGCCAATAGCTAGGGCTTACACAAAGGAAATGAAGCTTCTGGTCACTAGAAGGTGCCTCCTATACAAATCTATTATTCCATAAGAAACACTGAAAAAAAAAAGAAGAGATAGAGGAATTTTGTCCAAACAAAAATTCAAGAAAAACACAGAAAGAGGGCTTAGTGAAACTGAAATCACCAATCTTCTTGATTAAGATTTCAAAATAAAAGTCATAAAAATGCTCATGGAGCTACAGAAAAATATTCAAGATCTCAGGGAGGACTTCAGCAAAGAGATATACATTTTGAAAAATACAGTATCTGAAATAAGACATACAATGGAGGGACTTAAAAGTAGATTAGATGATGTAGATAGACAGTAAATGAAATATAAATTAGACAACAGGAAATCAAAGAAGGTGAGGAACAGAGAGAAAAAAGGATCTCTAGAAATGAAAGAATAATAAGAGACCTGTGTGACCAATCTAAACAGAACAACATTCACATTATAGGGGCATCAGAAGAAGAGAGACACAAAGGGATAGAAAGTCTCTTTGAGGAAATAATTGTTGAAAACTTCCCCAATCTGGGGAAGGAAGGAAATAGTCACTCTTATCATGGAAGTGTAGAGATATCCCAACACAAGGAACCCTAGGAAGACAACACCAAGACATATAATGATTAAAATGGCAAAATATCAAGGACAAGGAGAGAGTATTAAAAGCAGACAGAGAGAGAAAAAAGATCATTTATTTAAAAAATCCCATCAGGCTGTCAGACTTTTCAGCAGAAACCTTACAGGCATGATATATTTAATGCAATGAAATAGAAGGGCCTCCAACCAAGAATATTCTACCTGGCAAGATTATCATTTAAATTTGAAGCAGGAATTAAACAATTTCCAGATAAGCAAAAGTTGAGGGAATTTACTATGACCAATCCATTTCTACAAGTTATTTGAAAGGGACTGCTCTAGGTGGACATGCTCTTGGGGGTAAATAGCTGTCATCAGAGAAAATAAACACACAGTAATGGTAGTAGACCAATTAATTACTAAACACATACAAAGTTAAATCAACTACTCACAAAGTTAGTCAAGAGATACACAAAAAGTATAGAATATGACACTTAATAAATAGAGTGGAGGAGGAAGAAAAAGAAGGGAAGGGAAAAAAAGAACTTTTAGATTGTGTTTGAAATAGAGTAATAAGTGATTTAATAGAGTAATAGACTGTTAGATAGTAAGGAAGCTATCCTTGAACCTTTGGTAACCACAAATCTAAAGCCTACAATGGCAGTAAGTACAGATCTACAGATAATCATCCTAAATGTAAATGGACTGAATGCACTAATCAAAAGGCACAGAGTTGCAGAATGGATTAAAAAACAAGACCCATCTATATGCTGCCTACAAGAGACTCATTTAATACCCAAAGACATACACAGACTAAAAGTGGAGGAATGGAAACAGATATTTCATGCAAATAGTAGGGAGAAAAAAGCAGGAGTAACAGTACTTATATCAAACAAAATAGATTTCAAAACAAAGAAAGTAACGAGACAAAGAAGGACATTACATAATGATAAAGGGGTTAGTCCAACAAGAGGATATAACCATTATAAATATCTGTGTACCTAATATAGGAGCACCTAAATATGTGAAACAAATACTAACAGAATTAAACGAGGAAATAGAATGCAATGCATTCATTTTAGGAGACCTGAACACACCACTCACACCAAAAGACAGATCAACCAGACAGAAAATAAGTAGACACAGGCACTGAACGATACATTAGAACAGATGGACCTGACAGACATCTACAGAACACTCCACCCAAAAGCAGCAGGATACACATTCTTCTCAAGTGTACATGGAACATATTCCAGAATAGATAAAGGCCATAAAAATAACCTCAATAAATTCAAAAAGACTGAAATTGTGTCAACCAGCTTCTCAGACCACAAGGGTATGAAACTAGAAATAAACTAATGAAAAAAAAAAAAAAGCCCACAAACACCTTGGAGGCTTAAACAACATGCTCCTAAATAATCAATGGATCAATGATCAAAATAAAACAGAGAATATGTAATATATGGAGACAAATGAAAACAACAACTAAGCAGCCCAAATCTGTGAGATGCAGTGAAGACAGTTCTAAGAGGAAAGTATATTGCAGTACAGGCTCACCTCAAGAAAGAAGAACAATCCCAAATGAACAATCTAAACTCACAATTAATGAAACTAGAAAAAGAAGAACAAATGAGGACCAATGTCAGTAGGAGGGACATAATAAATATCAGAGCAGAAATAAATGAAATTGAGAAGAATAGAAAATACAAAGAATCAGTGAAACCAAGAGCTGGTTCTTTGAGAAAAGAACAATTGATAAGCAAAATGGATAAACCCCTACCCAGATTTATCAAGAAAAAAAGAGAGTCTACACACATAAACAGAATCAGAAATGAAAAAGGAAAAATCACAACAGATACCACAGAAATACAAAGAACTATTATAGAAAACTCTGAAAAATTATACTAACAAATTGGATAATCTAGAAGAAATGGACAATTTTCTAGAAAAATACAACCTTCCAAGGCTGACCCAGGAAGAAACAGAAAATCTGAATAGACCAAATACCAGCAATAAAATTGAATTGGCAATCAAAAAAACTACCTAAAAATGAAAACTCTGTCCCATATGACTTCAGAGCTAAATTTTATCAAACATTTAAAGAAGAGCTAATACCCATGCTCCCTAAAGCATTCCAAAAAGTAAAGAGTAGGAAATACTTTCAAACTCATTCTATGAGGCCAGCATCACTCTAATACCATAACCAGGCAAAGACACCACAAAAAAGAAAATTACAGACTAATATCCCTGATGAACATAGATGCAAAAATACTCAACAAAATATAAGCAAACCGACTTCAAAAACACATCAAAAAGATCATCCATCATAACCAAGTGGGATTTATTCCAGGGAAGCAGGGATGGTACAATATTTGAAACTCAGTCCACATTATACATTACAATAAAAAGAAGGACAAAAATCACATGATCATCTCCATAGATTCTGAAAAAGCATTTGACAAAATTCAACATCCATTCACAATAAAAACTCTCAACAACATGGGCATAGAGGGCAAGTACCTCAACATAATAAAGGCCATGTGTGACAAACCCACAACCAACATCATACTTACTGGCAAAAATCTGAAAGCTTTTCCTTTCAGATAGGCAACAAGACAAAGATGGCCACTCTCACTACTCTTACTCATCATAGTACTAGAGGTCCTAGCCACGGCAATCAGACAACACAAAGAAGTAAAAGACATCCAGATTGGCAAGGAAGAAGTTAAACTGTCACTGTTTGAGATGACATGATATTATACACAGAAAACCCTAAAGACTCCACTAAAAAACTACTAGAACTAATAACTGAATTCAGCAAAGTTGTAGGATACACAGAAATCTGTTGCATTCCTATATACTGACAATGCATTAGCAGAAAGTGTAATCAGGAAAACAACTACACTTAAAATTGCATCAAAAAGAATAGAGTACCTAGGAATAAACCTAACTAAGGAAGTGAAAGACATACTCTGAAAACTACAAGTGTTTATCGCAGCACTATTTACAACAGCCAAGATATGGAAGCAACCTAAGACATAGTCTGAGAGAAATTAAAGAAGATACCAAAAAATGGAAATACATCCCATGCTCATGAATAGGAAGAACTAATATTGTCAAAATGACCATCGTGCCTAATGCAATCTACAGATTCAATGTAATCCCTATCAAAATACCAATAGCATTCTTCAATGAACTAGAACATATAGTTCTAAAATTCATATGGAACAACAAAAGACCTCGAATAGCCAAAGCAATCCTAAGAAGGAAGAATAAAGCTGGGGGGATTATGCTCCCTGACTTCAAGCTTTACTACAAAGCCACGGTAATCAAAACAATTTGGGACTGGCACAAGAACAGATCCATAGATCAGTGGAATAGAATAGAGAGTCCAGATATAAACCCACACATATATGGCCAATTAATATATGACAAAGGAGCCATGAATATACAATGCAGAAAAGACAACCTCTTTAACAACTGGTGTTAGCAAAACTGGACAGCTGCATGTAAGAGAATGAAACTGGATTATTATCTAACTCCATGCACAAAACTAAACTTGAAATTGATCAAAGACCTGAATATAAGTCATGAAACCAGAAAAATCACAGGAGAAAACATAAGCAAAAATCTCTTGAATATAAACATGAGTAACTTTTTCCTGAACACATCTCTTTGGTCAAGGGAAAAAAATAAAAAATGAACAAGTGGGACTACATCAAACTAAAAAGCTTCCATACAGCAAAGCACACCATCAGCAGAACAAAAAGGCATCCTACGGTATGGAAGACTATATTCATAAATGACATATCCAATAAGGGATTAACATCCAAAATATATAAAGAGCTCACATGCCTTAATACCCAAAAAACAAATAACCCAATTAAAAAATGGGCAGAGGATCTGAACAGACACAGTTTTTCCAAAGAAGAAATTCGTTATGGCCAAAAGGCATGCAAAAAGATGCCGCATATTGCTACTCATCAGGGAAGTGCAAATTAAAACCACAATGAAATATAGCCTCACACCAGTTAGGATGGCCAACATCCAAAAGACAAAAACAACAAATGCTTGTGAGGATGCAGAGAAAGGGGAACCTTCTTACACTGCTGGTGGAATGTAAATTAGTTCAACCACTGTGGAGAGCACTAAAGAGGTTTCTCAAAAAACTAAAAATAGAAATACCATTTTACCCAGTCATTCCACTCCTAGGAATTTACCTGAAGAAAATAAGATCCCCAATTCGAAAAAACATATGCACCCCTATGTTTATTGCAGCACTATTTACAATAGCCTAGATATGGAAGCAACCTAAGTGTCCACAGCAGATGAATGGATAAAGAAGAGGTGGTACATATACACAATGGAATATTATTCAGCCATAAAATGAAAAGAAATCCTATGATTTGCAACAACATGGATGGAGCTAGAGGTTATTATGCTCAGTGAAATAAGGCAGAGAAAGACAAATACACTCATTTGTGGAGTACAAAAACAAAGCAAACCTGAAGGAACAAAACAGTAGCAGACTCACAGACTCCAAGACGGGACTAACAGTTACCAAAGGGGAGGGGTGGGAGAAGGTGGGTGGGGAGGGAGGGAGAAGGGGATTAAGGGGCATTATAATTGGCAATCACAATATAGGTAGTTCACAGGGAAGACAGTATAGCACAGAGAAGACAAGTAGTGACTCTAGAGCATCTTACTGCACTGCTGGACAGTGGCTGCAATGGCGGGGGTGAGGACTTGATACTATGGGTGAATGCTGAAACCATAACGTTGTTCATGTGAACGCTTCATAATGTTGTATATCAATGATATTTCAATTAAAAAAAGAAAACCTGGCCTCATGAGTGAATATAGAATATAAAAGCATTACATTCCCTAACATTCTTACATACTAAACAAATTATTTAGCCTTTTATATGGGGTTATATGTATAACCCCAGTTATACATAGATGCTTCTACTGTGATAAATGTGCAAAACAGAAGAAAACAGTTCTAACATTTGCTGTTTGTAGACTTCCTGGAGCAGCTGAAACAGCCAACCTATATTTATCAGTTACTGTCTATTTCACACTGTTGGAAGTACAGCTAGATGAGCTAAAAGCCAAAAAATACTAGGTGCAGAAGGCAATAAACTCAAATATGCTGTCTCAATTTATCACCTTTGTTTCCAAATTAGATTTCTTTGAAGAAGTGTCAGTCCAAAGACTCTCAGTGAGTAAAAGTTCATGTCCAGCCTCATACAGAGCAATCTTCCTCGGGCACACCATTCAGATGAATAGGACAACCAGTGTTTGAGTCCATAGTTTAGCGTCATTAGCTTTGTGTAGATTAAGCCAACAGTAAATTAGACAGCTAACTCAGAATTTTTAATTGGTAGGATGGAAATTGTTGGAACCAGTGCTGTATTGGAGAGCTCATTATTCATACCTGACACCATGATTTCAGCCACCAGCATAGGTGGAGACTCTGTGATGTTATCACCAAAGTCTCCTGTCCTGGATAAGATGTCCAATGGTGTTACTTGATTATTTAGACCTGCTTCATTACCTAGTAGGTCAAAAGATATAGTTAATTCACTTTTTTATAATTTAAGTTTGACTTTATTTATATTTATGGCTGTTTGTTGGTTGTGAGTTCAGACTCATTCCTACAGTAAGAAGATTCAGAGAAATTGGCAGCATCTTGGAGACTTAGAAAAACCCCACCTGCTAAACCACACCCTCCCAGCTTCCCTCAGTGCACTTGATGGCTGAGGGTTGGGGGAGCCAGGACTCTTTTAGGTACTAGCAAAAACAGTAACAGTAAAATACCAAAATTCTTATGAACATAATCAGCTCATAATCACAGCCCACCATTACTAAGGACAAAGTAATGATATGATTTCCCCAACATACCTTCCATGCACATTGCTTCTCACTAAGGCTGATTTCAAGACTTATTTTAGCCTGATTTTACCTGTACTTAGAAATGTGTAAGAACATAAACAAACCATAGCTTAACATAAGCATGGTATCTATACACATCTCCAGAACATGGGAGACATGGATCTTCTAAAACACTAATCCCTAAGTGTGGTCCATGGATCTCTGGGGTCCCACTGCACAAAGTCCAGAAGGTCAAAGCTATTTTCATAAAAGGTCACCGTTATTTGCCTTTTTTCCCTTGTGTCAACACTGATACTGATGAGGCAAAAACAATAATGGGCAAAACTGCTGGTGCCTTAGCAAATTAAGGCAATGGTACAAATTCAACAAGCAGCGTGCATTCACTGACACACAATTGCTCTCTCTCACACGTATACATGCACAATCCAGTTTCACTTAAGAGCTGTGATGAAACAGTAAGAACTATTAATTTTTAAAAATCTCAATCATAAAATTCTTGGCTCTTCAATATTCCATATAATGAAATGGGAAGTACAAATAAAACACTCCATGCACATACTGAAGTTATCATGTCTGTCTGGAGGAAAAACATACATGTGCTCTTCAAACAGGGTGAAACCAGCTTTCACTTTCATTGAACATAATTTTTACTTGAAAGAATGACTGACTAACTATGTTATTAACACTTAGAGATTTGGGAAGCATTTCTCAAAAATGAATGAAGTGAGTCTATCATTTCAAGGAAAACAACTGATGGTACTTGTTGCCAAAGATAAAATTTGAGCTTTCAAGTGAAAAGTAGAATTCTGGAAAAATTTTTCCACTATCATGAGCTGACAGAATCCCAATATTCAAGGGCTTTTCTAATAAGCTTGATGATAACAATTAATGTGTTTGTTGTATTCATCTGACACTCGCAAGATATATATAATTCAGTCAATCAATATTTTCAAATGACCAAAAATATGCCACAAAATCATGCATTGGTGAAAGATCCACACAAAGACAAAACAGAACAGTGGATTTTAATGTAGCAGGGGACAAAAAGTTTTTGATATGGCCTCAGATTCCACATTACAGTTAAGCTCAAAACTATCACCTGTCTAGTTCTGATAAAGTATCAAAAGAAAATGTACAAGAGGCATCTGAAAAGGCTATTAAATAATCAGTCCTCCCTTTCCCAACTCCATGTCTGTCGGAGGCCAGACTTTCTTGATAGGCTTCAACCAAAACAATACAGCAACAAATCTAACAGAAGCAGGTATGAGAATCCTGCTGCCCTGTATTAAGTCAGACATTAAAGATATAAATGTAAAACAATGCCACTGTTCTCACTACATCTTTTTTGTTTTGGAAATTATTTCACTTATTTCCATAAAAATATGTTCATATAATGGAGTATTATCTTAATTTTAATAGATAAGTTTTTTAAATAGTACAGTTTTAATTTCTAATATCATAAATATTGTCAGACATAATCCACATACACCAAAACTCTTTGGGGTTCTCAATAACTTTTAAGAGTGCAAAGAGGTCCTGAAACCAGTGATTGAGAACCATTGTCTCAAGGCAACAATTAATAGAAAGTTCTGAAAATCCAAAACAGCCAATTCTGATCTAGGGAGAAATCAATCCCTTTATTTGCTGTCAATCTGTCACCTAATTTATACTATGCCTATTAGATAAATACGCATTTTCAAAAAACAGTTTTAACAAAAGGTAAACTCTCTGGCATAAAGACATCAAGAGATGAATTCAAACACTCTTTAACTGTTTGGATGCACATTGAAGGGAGGCAAAGCAGTAACTGGTTACACATCACGTTTGATTTCCTCTTTCTCTTCCTTAAAGTCATATTTAGATTTAGGTTTTAAAAATGTGGATCAGACACCTTCTCAGGCTAGATTCCTACACTTATTTGATAGCCTAAAGTTATTTATTATAAAGGATTTTGCTCATTATACTAAACAAGCCACATGGTAGGGGGGCTGTCTATGACTATGCCTAAAATTAAGGCCATAAAACTTCTACATAAAATGTCTGTGAACACTATCCGAGGTGGTAAAACACTGGCATTTATTTCCAAGTTTGGACCACTCCACCATGACTAGGGTGCTGGAGGATGGGGACTTAAGACTTCGAATATTATCTTTTGTTCATTAATTTTACAATTAGAGGAGGTCAACTGAATTTTGTCTGAAATAAGGAGCCCAAACTCATCAGAGAAAAAAACAAAACGGTGTCCTTAAAAGCAGAGCATTTTAGAAATACAAAATAAAAAGTCAGTAAAAGCATAAGAATCAATGCAGAACTATATTCCTGAGCCAACGTAAGGTAATTTAGCCACATAGTTTATCATATTACCTGCTGATATCTGATGGCCATTCACAGCCAGGCACATTTTCCCATCTGGGGCTTTTACAAAACCTTCACGACATGAACACCGAGCAGTTCCAAACCTCTCTTCACAAATATGTTCACAGCCTCCATTCCGATGGAAGCACGGCTCTGCTCCTAGTGGAGGAGAGAGGTGCATTCGCAGATGGGCTTGGAGATCACGAGGGCCACTGAGGCAAATCACAATATACAGCTTTGGGGAGAGAAGCTCAGTGTATCTAATTGAAGGCTGTACTGAACTATTTCAGAGGAGTTCCTATAAGGGGCCACTGATTCTAAGACAAACTCAGAATCGTATTACCTTATGAGTATTTATTGAGTCTAGCCAGTACTTTTGTTCAAGAGCTCTTTAGGCAGATATGATTCCTATTTTCTGACTCATAGTCTAGTCAAACTGAAGAAGGGCAATTTAGAAAGAAGTGTTACCAGAGGACACTGGACGCCTTTTCCATTCACGTACTCCCGGCTGATGCTTCCTCACGGTACATTCAGCGGGTGGAGAAAGGCCCCAGTTATACATAGATGCTTCTACTGCAGGTTTTGAAATTGCTCCTCCCACCCCTGCCCCACCTTCAGTGCCTTTAACCCACGAATCTTTGCAAAGGAGTAGGTGATTAAAAACTGCTCAGGAGATGTCAAGATGAGATTGGAGAGAGAAAGTCGAATCCACTACCACATTGTCTTAGGTTAAACTCTTACCATCTACCCAAATTAGTGAGAACCGCAGCATCACCCTCCTCCCGCCACTAAACGAATCATTGTAGATTCCATTACAAAGAAAGACTATGTAACGTGCCCAGGGTACCTGGTTTTGCCAAAGGATGAACTACAACCAGTGATGAGGGCTTCAGCATGCTGCCTCGGAGACGTACCCTGTTTTTGCCTGTCCTCTTGTTCACCCTTATTACCGATGGCATAGTCCAATCAGAGAACCACACGTGATCCTCAAACACAGCTACAGCGAATGGGTGACCTGGAAGCATCGAATCCATTTACATACGTTTTGTCTTTGCCATGAGTATTTCAAAAAGGACAAGGCTTGAAACATATATGCGATTCCTACACTAAATCATTTCTTTAATGTAGCTGCTAAGCACGGTGTGAGCCCCTACCCACACCTGTGTCCCGGAAACCGACATGATGAGGGCGCCTCGTCTTAAAATGGGAGCCTGGTGGTCTGGGGTCCAGCGCTGGCAGCCAGCATTGGGGGAGGCGGAGAACGCGGGTTGGTTGACATAATAGCACCAAGGAGGAGGAATGTTTCCCGTTTCAATGATTCTGTCATTATTTCCAGACTAAACTTGAGCAAATCGTTTTACCTCTCTTTGCCTCAGGTTCCTCGGCTTTAGAATGGCTGTACTAAGCAGCAGACTAAATTCACAGGTTGTTGTAAGGATCTTTAAAATATTGAGGTAACGGAATAAGTCTCCATTAAATTCCCATGTCCACAAACACATTTCCATGCAGTGGACCCCCGCCTGCTTTCTTATTTTTCCTTTTATCCAATATCGGTCCCTTGACCTATGGTCTTGGCCTCATCCTTCCTGCCGTCTCTAGGGTCTGTTCTGTCAGTTGTCCCTTTCTTTTACATTTCATTCTCCTCATCCTATTAGCTTTTTTCTCTTAGCCAATTAATATCCTCAGGTCCCTCCCATCTTAATTTTCTCAACCCCTTGACCCCTCTAGCTTCTTTTTGTCTCTTTCCTTCCCTTACTAGCCAAGTTTTTGGAAAGCATTTGTTATCTGCTGTCTCCATTATCATGGTTCCTATTGACCCATAAGTGGGCTCTTCTGACCCACAAAAATCTACACGGACATCTCCACACCACTGAAACTCTTCTGATAAAATATCCAAGTATTCAGTAAGCAGGGAAATGCTGTAACATACTATGTCAAGTGGCTAGAGGCTAAAGCTATGGAGCCCCAAATTTGGAAGTTTCAATCAAGTCCAGTTCCATTTCCCAGGTCAGCCTTTTTGCAAATGGGCAATGGAATTGGAAGATTAGAACGAACATCTCCCTCTTTGGCAGCTAACTCAAACAAGTTATCCTGGTGGCAGTGAGTCTCCACAAATCATTAGTGACTAGGGCCATAAGGATTCCTTTAGTCTCTAGCCCTTTGTCCCAAGTTAAAGCCATAAATGTACAAGATAATTTTTAAATATAGCTATCATTTTTTATATGATGGTAAAAAAGTCTCACACAAAATTTATCATCTTAATCTAAGTATATGGTTAAGTAGTGTTAAGTACATTCAGATTGTTGTGCAGCCAGTTTCTACAACTTCATTTTGCAAAACTGAAGTTTGACACCCATTGAACAACAACTTCCCATTTTCCCCTCCTCTAGTCCCTGGCAAACACCATTCTACTATCTCTTTCTACGAATGTGACTACTTTAGATATCTCAAGTAAGTGGAACCACACAATATTGTCTTCTGTGTCTGACTTATTTTTCTTAGCATAATGTCCTCAAGGTTCATCCTCAGTGTAGCATGTGTCAGAATTAGCTATAGTTTCTCAACAGTCAAATACCCTACTCTGACACAATCTACCTTATTTTTTTTTTAATAGACGAGCCACAATTGCATTTTAAATTAAGAATGAATTCCGTCAATCTTCACATTCAAAACCCTCAACTGGCAGCTGAGAAGTCACCACTGTTACCAGTAGATGGCACTACAAGGATGGATTATTTTACCTATTTTCATATCAATATTTGATAATGGTCTTTAGTAGAAAACTGCCTTAGTCAGAGATTACAGTAGCAATACAAATTATTCACAAAATATCGCTATGCTTTTTTGGTTTAGACTATGGTGTCTTTACATTCTGGTTAGGAATTTTCAAATCCCTTTTTGCTTTCATATGTCAAAGCTGTAATCCTACATTTATTTAGGTGATGTATTTAGGTGAAAGTATGTCTCCTTCACTAGCCTCTATGGCTTCACAGGAACCATATTTGTTTTACTATCCACTGTATGTCCACTTTCTGTGATTCAATAAATATCTGTTAAGTACATGAATGAATAAAGTCTACAACCGTACACAAGCTCATGTTTTATTGTGAAGTATGTATTTCATTCCTACAGAAGCATTTTCCTACAGAAGTTTAAAAATTTTTAATATGATTTTGGGAAATCTTGGCAAAGAGGAATGAACCTACATCACTATTTTTTTACCCACTATCCCAATGTCAAGGTAATCTTTGTAGCTCATAAATCTCTGGGGAATTCTGTCTTTATCCCCTTCTCACCATGTGGTTAAGAGTATGTGGGGTGGGGCGGGGGTGAGGGTGTGTGTGTGTGTGTGTCTAAACACATTTTGTATTTAACACTCATCAATATTCAGTCAAAAGGAAGAAATCACCCATCCCAAGACCTCACCTACATCGTTTTGAGCAAGTCTTTGGCGTTTGGAACCATCCAGATTGGCCATTTCTATCACAGACCGTTTGGCATCACACCAATACAACTTGTCAGTTAAGTAATCAATCGTTATTCCACTGGGCCACACCAGATCAGAGCTAGCTATAACCAGCCGGCCAATGCCTTGAAGGGAAGCACTTTCAATTCGTGGATTAATCCCCATATCAGTCCAGAATAATCTCCTTTAATCAAAAAAGCATTTAAAAAATTGCATGAAAAAATTCTATTCTTTCATCATTGAAAACATCAATGTAAATCATTTTAGGGATTAACTAAGTGGTACACCGAGGAATATAGAAAGAGAAAGTATAGCACTGTATGTTGAACAAATAATTTTCAGAAGCAAAAAATTATCTTTTCTGTGTAGAGCATCTTAGGAAATGTCAGATTAAATTTAAGAACACTGGATAAAAAGACTCATTTAAAAAACTGTAGTATATTACAAATCAAGAATGTATTTGAGTACATATTCTTAAATAAGCATTTCATGCTATAAAAGCAAATGAAATCTTGCTAGCCTGTCTTACTGCTATGCAGATGTTAAGACTCACTTTATATGTAAAATTAAAACATAAAGGAAAGAGCATATTTGTTTATCAAGCACTTTTATATGATATACTCAGTTAACTTGGTCAATTTGAAGTTTCATAAACCAGATGCTGAGGCACATTTTTTGAGGTCAGTGTGGTTCAGTATCTTTTCACCTGTTTGTTTAGAGATGGATACCTTCTCACTGCTTTAACCATGTGGCTGGCTCCAAATCAATTATCAATTACTACCAGTGTATTATTTCCCATAGACTATCATAAAATTTCCATTCCAAATAAAATACGGTTAAATTTTTAGCCTTGTTTTTGCAGTAGAAAGGAATCAGTTCTTCTTACCTCTATAAACCTAAACCAGCATTTGTCACCAATTTCTTACTAATTCACAATTAACAACATAGTCTCCTACTCATTCATGATGTCTATTTCTTTTTGTCTAAATCCAAGCAAAACTTATCATTTGAACTAAACTCACGATTTTTCTAAATAGAATTTATAAGCCATGCAATCCAAATATTATCCTCTACTCAGGAAAGCAATAATTTAGATTTGTAAAGAAAGTAGCTTAATGGGCTAATGTCTAATTGTTTAAAGAATTACAGCCCACTTCTTCTCAAAAAGAAATTGAATTTGCTTAAAATGAAAGGGTATCTAAGCAATAATATTTTCATACAAGAATAGAAAATCAGAAGATGTTACAAGGATGAGGAAGTCACGCTAGCAATATCAGCTTTGAAAACTTGAACAAATCTTATGAATTTGCTTGGTCCTGATTCCACCGACCACCAGAGATCTTAAGACAAATGTTGGTCACTAGCATATCAAACTAGCATGAACTGTCTACAGAAAGGTGCCTCATTTCCACAAATACTTACTTGGCCACTGGATGAACAGCAATTCCTCGTGGCTGAGAGATGCCTTCCTTAATGATTATTTCACGATGTTTTCCAGTTAAATCACTCCCTTCAATGAGAGACTTCCTAAAATGCAAGTAATATAAAGGGGCTTTTTATATCAACTGTGCTTTTTAAACAAAAATGCTCCATCCCTGTGACTTACTGAAATACAAAGGAAAGCATCCAGACTATCCCCATCACACATGCTAGCATGTGTGCACACGTGTGAGCACAAATACACAAGTGAGGACCAACATGTACATTCTCTTTTTTTAACAGTCTTTTAATTAACATTCCAGTATATATGCCAGGCAGTTAAACACACTGTGAAAGGATAAAGTAAGAGGGGACTGTGTCAGTGGCCTGGCAGGGACAAAACGTGTGTAAATACTACATCCCTTTCTCTTCAAAACTTCCCTCTCCTGCTGGAACCAGGGAAAGGCAGTCGAGAGGAGCTGTCGGCTTCCTGTCACAGCCACAGATCACCGGGTGGGAAGGCAGGGGGAGGGAGAGCAGGGGGAGGGAGAGCAGGTCTGAAGGGCTGTGGAGACAGCCAGCACAAGACAGTGGGGGAAATGTATGCTGACCTTAATTTTTTTCTATATGATTCTAAGACAAATGGGAGTACTGAATATTATGTACTAATCTTTACATTAAAAAATATAACCCTATGGAATTTGGCAGGGGAGAAAATTCTTGTTTCCTAATTTTTCCATTTATTTGTGAAATAAATCTTTATTACCAAATAAATATTTAAGAGTCACCTACTCTGTGCCAGGGATTCGCCTAAGCACTGGAGATACAGTACTAGAGAAAACTCCATCATGATCCTTACTCAGCTTATAGGGCAGCAGGAGAGGGTGGGGGAGGGAATTGCAATACAAAGAATGTAAAGAATGCAACTGGCAGACTCAGGGCTGGGGGCTTAGTTGGATACACTGGACCTGGGAGTTAAACCAGGCTTCCAGGAGTAGATAGGACTACAGGCAGAGGGGATAAGAAGACCCTCCCCTCTCCACCAGCTTGTTTCCTCCTGCAAACTAGAAAGTATAACTGTCTTTAATTCATTCCACAAACACCTGGAAAGCTCTACCCCTTGTTCCTGTAGGCAATGTCTGCATGAAACAGGCCTGCCCAGAAACTCAGGGTGGGACTATTCTCTCCTCCCTGTTCTGAGGTTAAATTTTTAGCCTTGTTTTTGCAGTAGAAAGGAATCAGTTCTTCTTACCTCTATAAACCTAAACCAGCATTTGTCACCAATTTCTTACTAATTCACAATTAACAACATAGTCTCCTACTCATTCATGATGTCTATTTCTTTTTGTCTAAATCCAAGCAAAACTTATCATTTGAACTAAACTCACGATTTTTCTAAATAGAATTTATAAGCCATGCAATCCAAATATTATCCTCTACTCAGGAAAGCAATAATTTAGATTTGTAAAGAAAGTAGCTTAATGGGCTAATGTCTAATTGTTTAAAGAATTACAGCCCACTTCTTCTCAAAAAGAAATTGAATTTGCTTAAAATGAAAGGGTATCTAAGCAATAATATTTTCATACAAGAATAGAAAATCAGAAGATGTTACAAGGATGAGGAAGTCACGCTAGCAATATCAGCTTTGAAAACTTGAACAAATCTTATGAATTTGCTTGGTCCTGATTCCACCGACCACCAGAGATCTTAAGACAAATGTTGGTCACTAGCATATCAAACTAGCATGAACTGTCTACAGAAAGGTGCCTCATTTCCACAAATACTTACTTGGCCACTGGATGAACAGCAATTCCTCGTGGCTGAGAGATGCCTTCCTTAATGATTATTTCACGATGTTTTCCAGTTAAATCACTCCCTTCAATGAGAGACTTCCTAAAATGCAAGTAATATAAAGGGGCTTTTTATATCAACTGTGCTTTTTAAACAAAAATGCTCCATCCCTGTGACTTACTGAAATACAAAGGAAAGCATCCAGACTATCCCCATCACACATGCTAGCATGTGTGCACACGTGTGAGCACAAATACACAAGTGAGGACCAACATGTACATTCTCTTTTTTTAACAGTCTTTTAATTAACATTCCAGTATATATGCCAGGCAGTTAAACACACTGTGAAAGGATAAAGTAAGAGGGGACTGTGTCAGTGGCCTGGCAGGGACAAAACGTGTGTAAATACTACATCCCTTTCTCTTCAAAACTTCCCTCTCCTGCTGGAACCAGGGAAAGGCAGTCGAGAGGAGCTGTCGGCTTCCTGTCACAGCCACAGATCACCGGGTGGGAAGGCAGGGGGAGGGAGAGCAGGGGGAGGGAGAGCAGGTCTGAAGGGCTGTGGAGACAGCCAGCACAAGACAGTGGGGGAAATGTATGCTGACCTTAATTTTTTTCTATATGATTCTAAGACAAATGGGAGTACTGAATATTATGTACTAATCTTTACATTAAAAAATATAACCCTATGGAATTTGGCAGGGGAGAAAATTCTTGTTTCCTAATTTTTCCATTTATTTGTGAAATAAATCTTTATTACCAAATAAATATTTAAGAGTCACCTACTCTGTGCCAGGGATTCGCCTAAGCACTGGAGATACAGTACTAGAGAAAACTCCATCATGATCCTTACTCAGCTTATAGGGCAGCAGGAGAGGGTGGGGGAGGGAATTGCAATACAAAGAATGTAAAGAATGCAACTGGCAGACTCAGGGCTGGGGGCTTAGTTGGATACACTGGACCTGGGAGTTAAACCAGGCTTCCAGGAGTAGATAGGACTACAGGCAGAGGGGATAAGAAGACCCTCCCCTCTCCACCAGCTTGTTTCCTCCTGCAAACTAGAAAGTATAACTGTCTTTAATTCATTCCACAAACACCTGGAAAGCTCTACCCCTTGTTCCTGTAGGCAATGTCTGCATGAAACAGGCCTGCCCAGAAACTCAGGGTGGGACTATTCTCTCCTCCCTGTTCTGCAAAACATTAAGCTGATCTCTGGGGCCTTATTCGGGCACACTTTCTAGGCCGTTAGTGAGTCAGAGGCTTTATAGACTCCTCCTCACAGGTTAGATGCAGGAGGGGGATAAAGGTAAGATCAGCTCAGGGCCTATGCTGAGTCAAGTACACTTTGCAAACAACCAACTCAGGGCAGTGGCTAATGTGAAGCCATTTATATTTTGGTGCCACTTTTATGAGATACTTTTATTCCCAGATGAAGTGGCCATTGGGAGGGTACTACTGGGTCTTTCTGAACTCGATGTGTCAAATTCACTCAGCCACAAGTATCACTGTGCCTGCTGCCTTGATGGGAGGGAAAGCGAAGGCCGCTTGCTTTTGACCAGGAAGATAAAACTGTCAGTTCCGATTCCACTATTGCATCATCTCTGAATATTTACTGTTCTGAGCAGGAGTGAGGTACTGAGAACTGAGACAGGCACATACTCCTGACCCTGGAGCTAACTCAGCAGGATTGCTAGAATTTATTTTCAAAGCTCTCCAAAGGATTCGCCTAATAATACACTTCTATTTGATTCCACCAGAAAGCAAATCTCACACTGCAGTATTGGTGCTGAGAAAGCAAAGACAAGCACAGACTTTGGGGTTCACATGAATCCAAGTATAACCCTTAATCCAGTGCTGTGTCTTTCTCTTAATAGCCATTCCCTGATTGGTCTCAATGCCAATGGGATCCTCTAAACACCATCCTATTTCCATGATAAGAGCTATTCATCCAGAACTATAGAAGACTAATTTTTACTCATGGTAATTTTTGTTAACTCAAAAGAATGGGCAAACAAATATCTTATTTCTTGCCCTTTTGCTTCTTTTTTACTGGGCGTTTGACTTTAGGAGTCAGTATTCCTTGATACTAAATAACAGCATTGCCAGTGAAATTATCAATTTGCTTCCTTCCTGTAGCTATACATTAATTTGAATCTGTCTTTTCCTAAACCAGCGTAAACTGTTAAGTATCCAGTCTGGTTCTCTTAACAGATTAAAGGTTACCATATAATCTAATACCATGAGCTGGGAATCTCAGTTATTTAAATCCAATTTCTACCTAATATCAAGGTTTTCATATGATAAACCTCTCATTTCCAGGCAAATTAAAGGTTTTATTTTAGCAGCTGCCTTTAAAGGGAATAGCACTTAAGAAGGGCTTGTTTTTAGGCAAGTCAATGAGCTCAGGAATTGGAAGTCTGATTCTCCAGGATACAGAAGTACCTGTCTAACTCTGTCTCCTGAAGGCATTGCCTTGGTAGTAGGTACACCATGGGACTATTAATCAAATGCTGTTAAAATTTGAGGTGTCATATGAATGTGAGAAATATGATGAAACCCAGCATCCTGGGAGGGTCCAGGAGGGGCTGACATCTGCTGCTCTGATCAACATTTTCCCTCTGAGAACAGCCATGTACAAGCTCTGCTATTATGCACAGCTGACATTTTAAATGTCCTTCTGCACGGAAGAAGCTGTTATTATGATTTTTATCATTATTACAACTAAAGCTCCAGATCTACTCTTTATACTGCTACTTAACCTTGGGGAAATTGCTTTTTCTCTTTGCTTCTCAATTTTTTAATCTTTAAATTGGGGATAAGAAAATTTACATTTTGGGGATTTAACAGTGTCATGGATATAAAGCTTTCAGCACAGTGTCTGGTGCATTTCAGTTATCCAGTAAATAACTACCCAAAGAATAAAGGAATGAAGGCATGGTTAAGTGAACAACAAATGAATGAATGAAAATATTCTTAACCTGGATGTAGAAGTGCCATATTATTGATAACTACACACCATGCCATAAATTTAACTCATTAAAAAAAAACCATTTATTTCTCATGGGTTATCCAGACCAAAAGAGATTTTCTGGAACACAGAAAGCCTACCCCAAACCTATATATCCATTCTCTGGGACTCCTCCTGTTGTGTTGGAACCACTGATTTCACAGAAGTAAAACCCTAATTAATTCTCTTCTTTAACACAGTTGCAAGGGTATCAGATGTTCAGGTTGGCCACCATTTCACTTCATGGCTTTGACTCTGAGAAAATATCCAAAGCACAGAACATCTCTAGTACTATCCTGTGATGTCTCTGGGGTCAGCTGCCTCTCTTCCAGGAGCAAGGAAATGGGTTCTCATTAGCACACTTAAGAGATGAAGCCACTTCCTTCCTTCACTGTCTTCCCACCCCCACAGGTCCTGGGGCTCCCCTAGGCCACACACACTTACACACTAAGTGCAGCCTCCCTCCTGCAGCACTGGGGAGCGGTGTGCGCAGAGGGCAGGCACACCACAACCTCCCTCTAGTTCTGCTGTTTTCCATCCAAGGGAAGGTCTGTACAATCCCATCAGGACATTCCTCAGAACTCCAGTGTGAAGCTCTCACTCCCTCCTTCAGGCTCACTTAATAGAGAGCCAGCATGTGGAGCCTAGCCCAAGACTTGCCACTTGCATGTCGTGTAACCATGTATAAATCACTTGGCTTTTCCGAGCCTTAGTTTCCCCATCTGTAAAATGAGGGGATTTGGTTAGTTCACCCCTGAAATCCCTTGCGGCACTCCTCTGGGAGTATACACCCTTCATTTGGCCATTATTAATGCACAGCCTTACGACATCTCTGGTGCTGACCTCTAGACCAAGCACTGGCATTAGTTTTTCCTGCGTATGTGTGCCTTACCTCCCTGACTGAATTCTGAGCTGACTGAGCCCTCTTCATGCTCCTTTGCATCTCCCACATTACCTAGAAGGAAGCCTTATTCACAGCAGATGCTCCAAGAGTGCCTGTTGATTGTGGTTGATTGTATTCATACACATGTTTTGTGTGTATTTCTCTGATTACAACAGGCTGAAGTACAAAAACACATGCTACTTCCTTGGTCCTCAAAATTCTCCCTTGGATACAGACCCAATCCTGATGAAGGGAAGAATGTCCTGCTTGGTGATGGGGAGGCGAGGGAAGTGTGGGGGGTATGGGGGCATCTGTCCTCCAGTCCCAGACAGGGCTCCAGAAACATTTTCTTGTGTGCAAAGATAAGGACAAAGCTGCAGGACTGCCTGTCCCATCACTCCCACCCCCTGTGGCATAAAGCTGAAGGAGCAGGCATACCCTTTGTCTGTCCAGTACAATCTGCGGCCACTCCAGTCTACAGCAAGACCTTCTGGCACATCTACGGCTTCAATAAGCCTTTCTCGCTGGGAACCATCCATATTAGCTCTCTCTATCCACTTCAGGGCTGTGTGGGCAAAGTATATCTATAAAAGAAAAAATAGGCATTTCCGTATGATTTGTTTAAAAGAATTAATATGGATACTCTTAATTGTGGCTAGTAAATTTTTTGGATTTGTGGAATCATTAAGAGATTGGCTTTAGAGATATGCACACCTACAAGTGAATCCCACCCCTGCTACTTCCCAGAAGTTTGTAAACTTAAGCCAAGTTCTTCAATGTCTCTGAGTCTCACTTTCCCCTTTGGTAAAATGGGGATACTAATACCAAGTGCGTTCGTTTTCTGTATATAAAACCCTTTAGCCCTACAGCTGGCATATATTTCTATTGCTACTAATAATTTATTAACTTTTGATTATAGGTCAATAACAAAGCCATTGTGCTTGAACTCTGTAGGCTTTCACAGCCTGAAAGGAAGCAATGATTAGCAGTTTAATGGAGGCAGCAGGGTGAGCTGTATCTTCTCCTGCTCAACCGACAGCACTTTACTGCAGGTCAGGTAACAGGTTCCTCTCCCAATTTTGGCAGTTGTTTGTTTGATTGCCTTGGCCAAGCTATTTAACCTCAATTTCTCAATACTTTAAAATGACAGACTAGATACTTACCAAAGTACCTTTCATCTCTAACTGTATATAATTTCATTTTAATTAATCCATCTTGTACAACAGAACATACCTTGTATGTGCTCAGTTCTTTTTCAGTCTGATGTTCAGACTATCAAACAGGTACAAGAATTTCATGAAAGCGTTAAAAACTGCTATGGATCAGCTGACACTTTAATGGTAACATTTGTGGAATTTTAACTGTGAGTACATGTCAGCACAAAAACCTATAATTAATGATGAGAGTATTCACAAAATGGTAATTCATCTTTCTAGATGGCATAGAAAACAGCTCCATTCCATACTACAAAAATGAGTACTTCTCCCACTAAAAAACCCTCCACTAGACCTCTGCTTCTCAAATTCAAATTGCACAGGAATCGCCTGGGAATCTTGTAAAATGCAAATTCCGATTCACTGGTCAGGGGCGATGGCTGAGGGTCTAATTCCAATTCACTGGTCAGGGGTGGGGGCTGAGGGTCTTGGCAGATCTGACAAGCTCCAGGGGATATTGATGATGCAAGGACAATCTGGTCCAAGTACCAGAGTTTGAGAAGCAAGAAATTAGAACATGTACCAGAGAAGTGAAAAACAGCCACACAACTTAAAGTTCATTCTAAGTCTCCTTATTCACCTAGTTGTAAAAATTTCCTACTGACTGTGCAGGAAAAAATTAGTTTGGTAATAAACGAATGTTGAACTTATTTTTTCTCTATTATTTCTTTCTGTTAATATAATTCTTCCATGGAGTCATATAGATTCAATTCAAGGAAAAGAAAAAGAATTGTTTGCTAGTGTTTAAGTACAAATTTCTATTTGCAAGATGAATACATGTACTCATCAATCAATACCGATTAAGTACAGAATCAATTTGCTTTGCCCTGTCTTTTTGGGGCCATTTGCCAGATTGCTTCAAATCAGGAAGAAACAAAAACACAGTTTAAAATTCTAGGAATTAATGTACCATCCAGTAATAAATAATTATGGAGGGAGATTTATAACTATGTAAATTGATAATGGGTAGTTAATCTCTGGAAGACACTGTAACATATCATTTCAAGCACATTCTAAACTAGCATAAATACAACTAATAAATTAAAGGCCAAATGGTTTGTTGATTGAGGTGATAATACAGAAATTTTAAGTTATATACAGAAAACCTCATGTACAACAGATTATTATGTAAAAAAGGTTGTGAGTTGCCATTCCCTCACAACCCATAAAACTTACGTTTCCTGATTTTCATGGTTAGAAGGTCACTGAATTCCCCCCATAGTGATAGATATTAAATGTGAATTACTAACCCATACTTAGCAACCAGCAAATAACTAAATACTTATTTATGGTGCTCCTCCTATGTGCATGGCTCTGTGCTAACCTCCCACCCTCATCTCCAAGGAAGAAAATGAACTGAAGATCCTGCTCAATCTTTCCCAATAAAATGGCTGAATCACAGCAAGAACCAGTGTAGGGTTACAATAAGAGGAATGGCCTTAAAATTTCCCAAATTTGTTCCAATGCCTATATATAAATTTTACTGTGACTAATTCTTTTGAGCTTAGCAGAGGATTTTCAAGTAGCCCAGGTCAATCTGTTCAGATAAAATCCTCTGCTCTGTCCTTAAAGCACAGTCACAGCTGTTCAAGTGACAAAACCATACCTTGTTTTCCACAGGGTCATGATCTAGGGCAAAAACCTTTCCCATTTGCTGGCTCAGCACAGTTCCATAATCTGTTCCATCAAAGTTCATGTGTCGAATATCTTGAGAATTGGCAAACAGCAAAAACGGCTGTGGTCCTACTAAGCAAATTCAAATACGACTCCATTAAATATGCCTTGGAGCCCTAGAGGCACTGTGACTCTTCCTGTCATGCACCCTCTCCCTGCAGTCCTGTCTCTCCACTTCCCGCCCATGGTGGTCCAGGTGAGGACAGGCCAGAAGCCACCTCTCCCTTGCCACGGCACCTGGTCAGCATTTCATCACTGGATTCCTCCCTGTCAGACGCTACTGTTAAAGTGCAAGTTACTTCCAAAAAGAGCCCACATTAAATAACCAACACCAGAGCAAAATGATGTGTCTTAGCACCACATCTCCTTGATTCACACATATTGAAACATATTAACATTAGCATATTGTATTCATTAATGTCCAAATGCCTGGGCACTTTCGAAAGGAAAGCATGATTATTTGAGTTAATAACTAGATCCCAGATTATTTTCAGAGCTCAGATTATGCTCTATCAACTAAGGCTCTGAGAAGTATTGGGGTCTGGCTAAGGCACGCTCTTTGCTGAATGCTAAGTAACTTAGAAATATTCCACAAAAACACAATTATGATTAATATTTACAAGGTGATTTGTTTCCCATTTCCAAAAATAAAATATCAAACTTTTCTACCCAGAAGCCAAAAGCAATTTAACTTTCCATCTTTCTCAATGAAACGTTGTTCTCATGTAACCTTTGGCAGAGATGCACTTCCCAATGTCCACAGCACTAACCTGAGGCTGTACAGCTTTTCCGGTCCGCCTGCAGGTCATACCCAGGAAAGCAGCCACATTCCCAGGACGCTGGGCTGAGAGCGAGGCAGAGCTGGCTGCAGCCACCGTTGTCAGGAGAGGAACAGCCTACAAAAAATAACTGCTGGGTAACGATGCGATTGTCCTTGAAAAATATAACGATTTTTCATCAAAATATTGAGGATGGCCAAATATATGGTGATTTCTAAAATTGTTACCACATTTGTTCCTACTGCTGCAATCAAGTTTATTTTTCAGGGACCAGAAGCAAAAATGTCACCGTACTCCACTGCTCTATGATCTTGACTATCTCTGATAACCCACCGGGATGTCTTCACATCCACCGGCCCCCACCCTCTTGTTCCATCACGGAGTTGGCAAACACGTGCTCTGGCAGCTGGGCTAGCTCTTTTAATGGGTCATATATTTTTTTCTCTCATGCATTTCTGGCCTGTTGGCTTCTTTTGCTTTCTTTATTTAAAAAAAAAAAAAGCCACAAAGAAGTCTTCTGTAAGTTTTGAGTTACATCCAGCCCTTTATATACTTAAGTCTCCATGACGATAGAAGTAGAGAGGTATTTACTGGGTGCAAGGAAAAGGCTAAGCTCTCTGCATCTGCCACCTGTATAGGTGGCCACGAGTATAGGAAGCAGGAATCATTCACCTCTAGAGATGAGGAGAGGCCAAGGGAGGTAGAAAACTGTTTCAAAGTAAGGCTGCCAGTAACTGCAATGCTACCTCAGGGCTGTCTAGCTTCAAAGCCATTGCTCATAACCACTATACTATGTCTAAAACAAAAACCTGATTGAAATCAGTATGTTACACTGTTGCATAAATATCTCTCAATGTATAATGCTGGAAAATCTATCCTCCTTTGTCAAGCAGATCAACTTTTGGCTGCCCCTTAGACAGTGAACATTTCAAACAAAAGGTAAGTGAACTTACCACTACACATCTTTCCATCTGTCTCAAGCACTGAGCCTTCAGGACAGAAGCATACAGGACCGTCTGAGGTCAGCACACAGTCATGGCTGCATTCAGACACATTGCTTGGACAGGAAATTAATTCTAATTAATAAAGCATAAGGTCAAGATTAGTGTTAGATCAGATTTGCAGGAATTTAGTAAAATTTGCTAATAAAAATGCTATGCTGAAAAGAGCAAGTTAAATAAAGATCAAACATTTATGAAATGTAATGAAGATATAAAAATAAAGAAAAATTCAAATCTAAAAAATTTAGAGAAAGACCTCTGATTTTGGAAAAGGACTCTAGTTTCTCTAAGTGTCTTTTATGTTAAATCACACTTTTTAATTACTAGTCAACAAAAGTTCAAAACATTTTAAATGGAACTTGGCCAAATAATTCTTTTTTTTTTTGAGTTTTTAACTTTGTCACTTCTTTATTATTTTATATTGAAAGAAGTCTAGCTTAGTAAAAGTTAAAACAGTATAGAAATGTGTGAAGTTTTAGGAAGTTCCCTCCATCCCCAATTCCCACCACCCACTCAGTGCTGGTATAGCTCCTGTGGGTCCTTCACGGGAGTTTTAATACACCTACAAATGTCCTTTTTCTTTGACCACAAATAGGATCACCATCATACACCTCTTTTGCAACTTGCTTTTTAAATTGAACAGTTTTTCTTAACTATCTCTTCTTTGAACTTTAGCTTATTGAAATATAATTCACAAACCTTATAATCCTTTCACTTCAACTGTACAATTCAGTGTTTTTTAGTATATTCACAGCCATGCAACAAACACACAGTTTTAGAACATTTCATCAACTCAAACCCATTGCCATTATTCCCTGTTTACCCCCAGTTGGTCCCTCCGCCATCCTTAGGCAACCATAACATACTTTTAGAGATTGCCTTATTTGGACATTTCACATAAATGGAATCATTCAATATGTGGTCTTTTATGACTGTCTTCTTTCACTTAGCGTAATATCTTTAAGGTTCATCCATGTATCAGTACTTCATTCACTCTTGTGGCTGAATAGCAGTCCAGTATATGGACATACCACAATTTGTTTATCTATCCATCAGTTGTTACACATTTGGGCTGGTTCCCCTTTCGGCTATTGTGAATAATACTACTATGAACATACATGTACAGTTTTTGTGTGGACATGTTTTCATTTCTCTTCTTTTTTTTTTTACTTGCATATCAATGTTTATTGCAGCATTATTCATGGGGACCAAAAGGTGGAAACAACCCAAATGTCCATCAGTGGATGAAGGGATAAACAAATGTGGCATATACATGCAAGGAAATATCATTCAGGAGTGAAAAGGAGGTTCTGACATGTGTTCCTATGTGCATGAACCTTGCCGATATACTCAGTGAAAGAAGCCAGACACAAGAAGTACTCCTTGTACAATTCCTCTCTTATGAGGTACCCAGAATAGAAAAATTCATAGAGACAGAGAGTGAAATAGATGTTACCAGGGGCTAGGGTGTGAGGAAGAGGGCATTACTGGGTTACTGAGTGTTTTGAGTAATGTGGAAGTTTGGAACTAGATGGTGGTAGTGGTTACACAACTTTGCGAATATATACAATGACACTGAATTGTACACTTGAAAATGGTTAAAATGGTAAACTTCATGTTATGTATATTTTACCACAGTTTAAAAAAGAAATCTGCCATGATGAAAAGAGTCGAGCAGACACAGGTGTGAATCCAGGGCTGCCTCTACCTGTTTGCACTGGGCAAGTGCCTTAACGCCTGGGAATCCATGTTTCCTCATTCTGAAAATGGAGATGATGATGCCTGACTCCTTAGGTAGCTAGCATGTAAATGATCTAGGCAGTACTTAGCACAAAGCACAAGAACCCATTCTAGATGGAGGCGACAGCCATGTAGTGCGTGATCATTACTGTCAGCTCTGAAGCTCTACCCCAGGGCCTCACCAAGTGTACAGACAGGACTTCTCACCCCACACACTGATGAACGGTTAGCCATAACTGAGATTTTCTTATTTTGGAAGAACTTCTTTCAACAGAATGCCGATGAAGAACCAGGTGTTTGAAAAATGTGGCTGTGCTAAGTGAAATGAGCCTTTTTTGGAGGCCAGATGGGAACATAAACCAACATTTGTTATTTTCTGTTTTTTTTTTTTTAAATCTGTCTTAGTGGGTATAGGTTTGATTTGCATTTCCCTAATGAGTAATGATGGTGAGCATCTTTCATATGCTTAATGGACATGTGTATATCTTCTTTAGAGAAATGTCTATTCAAATCCTTTGCCCTTTTTAAAATTGGGTTGTTTTTTTTGTTGTTGTTAGGTTATATGAGTTCTTTATATAGCCCTTTGTCACATAGAGGATTTACAAAAATTTTCTTTCATTGGGTGGATTATCTCTTCACTCTGATGTTCTTTGAAGCACAAAAATGTTTAATTTTGATAACATCAAATTTATCTATTCTTTATTGCTTGTGCTTTTGGTCATATCTAAGAAGGCTTTGCCTAACCCAGTATCACAGATTTTCTCCTGTATTTTTTTCTAAGAGAGTTTTAGCTCTTATATTTAAGTCTTTGATCCATTTTGAGTTAATTTTTGTGAAAAGTGTTAAGGGGTTCAACTTCGGCATTTGAATTTATTCACTCAACCCAGCACCATTTGTTGAAAAGAGAATTCTTTCCCCATTGAATTATTTTGGCACCCTTGTCAAAAATTAGTTGGCTGTAATTGAGAGGTTCATTTCTGGACTCTCAGTCCATTGATCTTTATGTCTATCCTTATGCCAGTGCCAACTTTGGCCACACAGTTCTTAAGTTCATCTGGAAAATAAATTGTATGTGTAAGAAAAAAGTAAGAACATTGTATGAGTGTGGTTAGGTGTAGGAAGAGAATGAGAGGCTCTTAACAAATACAGAATGTACCATAAAGATGCAATTACTAAAACAGTGGGTAATGAATGCTGGAGTAGACAAAAAGGATAACAGAACCAGATAGAAATCATTTTAGGAAAGACTCAAGTTTATGTAAGAATGTAGTTATGGATAAGGTATTGTAAATCACTGAACATGAGAAAGATCACCCAATAAGTGGTAAGAGAAATAATTGAGTAATGACTTGGTACAAAAGTTAAATCCCTACCCTACACCATACATCAAAATAAATTCTAAGTAAATCAAAGATTAAAGTGTAAACTATGTACCACAGAGGATCTAGCTACAGGTTGGCAGGAAGACAGAGACATCACAGAAGTGCAATCAGTAAAACCCAGAATGTGAAAAGCTGCAGGAAACAATATGTTTCTTCAACAAATACTTGCAAGGGGAGAAAGAGAGGAAAGGGTATCTGTAAAATAAAAGGCAGATAATCCAGCTAAGACAACATGTGGCACTTACCCAGATACTCAAACAAATCAAAGGCATAAAAAGAGTTTTTAAGGGTAATTTGAATACTGTTAGATACCTGATGTTAATAAGGAATTGTCATTTGTTGTTAAAGGTGGGACAATGGTATTGTGGCTATGCCTGAAAACTGATGGGATATTACATGATTTTATGGAATTACAGATAAGTTTTTAAAATATGATAATGTATCATGATTATGTTTTTATTTACATGCTTATCTTTCAGAGATTTATAACAAAATACAATAAAATAGAAATGGATAAAGAATCAAGAATATATATACATAGCTTGTTTCCCAATCTTAGAGGTCTTAATTGACTAGGTCTGGGGTAGAGTCAGTCATTCATGTTTTGAAAAGCAAAGCAATAAAACTCCAAGCCTATCCTGATGCATACTGCTGATCAAGGACCACCAACCCAGGTCATCACTGGAAACATCACTGAAAAGGAAGGAAAATAATGCAGTAAATTCTTATTGTGACTTACGGTGACACCGTTTCCCATCAGGAAGCAGAACAAATCCCACAGGACATGTGCAATAATAGGATCCAGGGATGTTTTCACACCCAAGAGTACAGCCATGATTCCAAAAGGCACATTCATTGACATCTACACAATGACAAGAGCAAAATACAGTCAGATGGTTATTTCTGAAAATAAATTATTATAACACAAATAAGTCAGCACCAAGTAGAGTTTCTCACACTTGTATTTGCTGTAACCAACCAAGGAAGGACTGTTTTTGCTACTCTCACAAAGAGTGAAAGAAGTCACTTCAGTTGCCATGAAAGCCATTTTTATTCTGTCACAGTTTATACCTGTATATACAGATTTTCATACTAGAATTGTATGAATTGGGGGAAAGTACTATTTCTCTTGAAAAGACCTAGCCATTTAAGGGAAGGACTCTTGAAAGTTCTTGACAGACAGGCCATCCACCACTCTGCTCTCCAGGCTTGTCCACGCTGGTGGGAGTCCGTCACCCCAGGGTGGAAACATTCTCCAACAGCTTTACTTGGCCTGAAACCCAGCCTTCTGGGGCACTGTTCTATGCTATGGCCTTTGCCCTCTAGTTCCAGATAACCAGGGGCCTATATTTAACAGGTTTACCCCAAATCTCACCCCAACTCATTCCTTTGAATGGGTACTAGAGGTGGTAGGTTCTTCTCGGAAACTGAGTGTACCTCCCCAGAAAGAGGACATGGTATTTCTCCCAGGTTCATTAACTGGGACTGGAGTATCAAAAAGGGGGAGCGCCAGATAACCAGCCCTGGTGCACAGCTTCTCAAGATTCCTTCCAGACCTTTACGGGAAGAAATGTGGGAGTCATATACTCTTGGAAGACCTTATGACAGCCAAGAAACTACTCCCCTAAAAAATTTGAAAATACTGACATTTTTTCATATGGTCAAATCCACAGAGGTCCGTGGAATCCACTCAGAAAATCCCTGCCTTATGTCAACACCTGAGTAGCCTCTGGGAGTGTTTGATCTAGGAACACAAGACATGAAGATCTGAAAGTTACTACAAAGGCTTTACAAATTGGAGACAAAAATTTGTTTTTCTGGGGGAAAAGGGGAGAAACTTGAAGTTACTTTCATATTGAGCCTCAGGCCACCATTGCTTCAGAGAGAGGCCCCCCACATTACCTTCACAGTACTTTCCATCTTGGCTTAAAGTATATCCCTCTGCACACATGCACGAGTGGGACTTGGGGTCTCGCCCACATATGCTGCCTCTGCAGTTACCTTTCCTCAGTGTGCACTGTTTCTGATCTATAAAAGAAGATAGTTTATTTGGAGTGAAGGTGTGTTTTGATGGGGCACAATGTTTGACCCCTTCAGGGTTCTTAGCAAGTCTAATCTCCCTGTAACATCAGCAGGGGTGTTTTCTTTCATGGTAGGGGTACTGCTCTAGGGTCAAATAGCATTAGCCCAGATACCAAAGCATTCAGAAGCTCATCTATTTCTCTAGTAGTATTTCTTATATGAGAGCTCTCAGGATAGGACATCTTAATTAGCTGGAGATGTCATTCTCTGGATGACAAACACTAAACACAGTTTCTTTGCTTTTTCAATCTGATTTGCTTTTCTAAAAAAATAATACTAAAGCACATAAACAAAAGTCCTGAAAATAAATTACCTGTTTAAGAAACAAAAAAGCTTCAAACCTGATAACATCTTTTCTTAAATATAATATTTATAGGTCAGGTCTATATATTTAGCTGTTCTAAGGATCATTACTTTAAAAACAACTTTCAGACTTAATATATGCCATTGTCATATGTCTCATTCCCAAATTTGGAATTTATTGCTGGCAGCATTCCATGTTTTATAAAATAGCCCAGAGTAAACAGTAAAATCTATTCAGTGAAGTAGGTTTTTGGTTTGGATCATAAACAACAAAATGGCCAACTTGGTACCTTTGATTTTCAGAGCCAGAGTCCAGAGCGAACCTAGTCATTTGTATAGCCCTGTTAAAATTTTACCTCTAAGAAGGAGTGAAGAATTTTTTGCCAATTTTAACCATGGCAGGGCCTTTGTAAAATTATCTGGCAAATACAGAGCTAAGCTTGAGTCTGAGGGCAGATCCCTGATGCAGGTAGGTATGTCCGCAGGAGCTCTGGCAAGAGGTACAGTCAGGGAGGAAGATTGGGGTCCTGAATGCAGCGTCGTGACATGGCTGAGTGAGATCAGCAACAGCCTGCGAATAAGATGAGAGTCCAGAACCTCAGGAAGGACGGCTGAAAGCGCAGCCCTGCTGCAAAGGGCACCAGACACAACCCAGAGGGAGCCTGAGCACAGTAGAGCGAGGGCCAGAGAACATTCTCCATGTCGTTTCCCAGTTCTCTCTTGCATCTAAATACAACATGCTACTAAATAATCAATGGATCCATGAACAAATCAAAATAGAGATCAAGGAATATATAGAAACAAATGACAACAACAACACTAAGCCCCAACTTCTGTGGGACGCAGCAAAAACAGTCTTAAGAGGAACGTATATAGCAATCTAGGCACACTTGAAGAAGGAAGAACAATCCCAAATGAATAGTCTAACATCACAATTATCAAAACTGGAAAAAGAAGAACAAATGAGGCCTAAAGTCAGCAGAAGGAGGGACATAATAAAGATCAGAGAAGAAATAAACAAAATTGAGAAGAATAAAACAATAGCAAAAATCAACGAAACCAAGAGCTGGTTCTTTGAGAAAATAAACAAAATAGATAAGCCTCTAGCCCAACTTATTAAGAGAAAAAGAGAGTCAACACAAATCAACATAATCAGAAATGAGAATGGAAAAATCACGACAGACTCCACAGAAATACAAAGAATTATTAAAGACTACTATGAAAACCTATATGCCAACAAGCTGGAAAACCTAGAAGAAATGGACAACTTCCTAGAAAAATACAACCTCCCAAGACTGACCAAGGAAGAAACACAAAAGTTAAACAAACCAATTACAAGCAAAGAAATTGAAACAGTAATCAAAAAACTACCCAAGAACAAAACCCCGGGGCCGGACGGATTTACCTCGGAATTTTATCAGACACACAGAGAAGACATAATACCCATTCTCCTTAAAGTGTTCCACAAAATAGAAGAAGAGGGAATACTCCCAAACTCATTCTATGAAGCCAACATCACCCTAATACCAAAACCAGGCAAAGACCCCACCAAAAAAGAAAATTACAGACCAATATCCCTGATGAATGTAGATGCAAAAATACTCAATAAAATATTAGCAAACAGAATTCAACAGTATATCAAAAGGATCATACACCATGACCAAGTGGGGTTCATCCCAGGGATGCAAGGATGGTACAACATTCGAAAATCCATCAACATCATCCACCACATCAACAAAAAGAAAGACAAAAACCACATGATCATCTCCATAGATGCTGAAAAAGCATTTGACAAAATTCAACATCCATTCATGATAAAAACTCTCAGCAAAATGGGAATAGAGGGCAAGTACCTCAACATAATAAAGGCCATATATGATAAACCCACAGCCAGCATTATACTGAACAGCGAGAAGCTGAAAGCATTTCCACTGAGATCGGGAACCAGACAGGGATGCCCACTCTCCCCACTGTTATTTAACATAGTACTGGAGGTCCTAGCCACGGCAATCAGACAAAACAAAGAAATACAAGGAATCCAGATTGGTAAAGAAGAAGTTAAACTGTCACTATTTGCAGATGATATGATACTGTACATAAAAAACCCTAAAGACTCCACTCCAAAACTACTAGAACTGATATCGGAATACAGCAAAGTTGCAGGATACAAAATCAACACACAGAAATCTGTAGCTTTCCTATACACTAACAACGAATCAATAGAAAGAGAAATCAGGAAAACAATTCCATTCACCATTGCATCAAAAAGAATAAAATACCTAGGAATAAACCTAACCAAGGAAGTGAAAGACTTATACTCTGAAAACTACAAGTCACTCTTAAGAGAAATTAAAGGGGACACTAATAAATGGAAACTCATCCCATGCTCATGGCTAGGAAGAATTAATATCGTCAAAATGGCCATCCTGCCCAAAGCAATATACAGATTTGATGCAATCCCTCTCAAATTACCAGCAACATTCTTCAATGAATTGGAACAAATAATTCAAAAATTCATATGGAAACACCAAAGACCCCGAATAGCCAAAGCAATCCTGAAAAAGAAGAATAAAGTAGGGGGGATCTCACTCCCCAACTTCAAGCTCTACTACAAAGCCATAGTAATCAAGACAATTTGGTACTGGCACAAGAACAGAGCCACAGACCAGTGGAACAGATTAGAGACCCCAGAAATTAACCCAAACATATATGGTCAATTAATATTTGATAAAGGAGCCATGGACATACAATGGCAAAATGACAGTCTCTTCAACAGATGGTGCTGGCAAAACTGGACAGCTACATGTAGGAGAATGAAACTGGACCATTGTCTAACCCCATATACAAAGGTAAACTCAAAATGGATCAAAGACCTGAATGTAAGTCACGAAACCATTAAACTCTTGGAAAAAAACATAGGCAAAAACCTCTTAGACATAAACATGAGTGATCTCTTCTTGAACATATCTCCCCGGGCAAGGAAAACAACAGCAAAAATGAGCAAGTGGGACTACATTAAGCTGAAAAGCTTCTGTACAGCGAAAGACACCATCAATAGAACAAAAAGGAACCCTACAGTATGGGAGAATATATTTGAAAATGACAGATCTGATAAAGGCTTGACGTCCAGAATATATAAAGAGCTCACACGCCTCAACAAACAAAAAACAAATAACCCAATTAAAAAATGGGCAGAGGAACTGAACAGACAGTTCTCCAAAAAAGAAATACAGATGGCCAAGAGACACATGAAAAGATGCTCCACATCGCTAATTATCAGAGAAATGCAAATTAAAACTACAATGAGGTATCACCTCACACCAGTAAGGATAGCTGCCATCCAAAAGACAAACAACAACAAATGTTGGCGAGGCTGTGGAGAAAGGGGAACCCTCCTACACTGCTGGTGGGAATGTAAATTAGTTCAACCATTGTGGAAAGCAGTATGGAGGTGCATCAAAATGCTCAAAACAGACCTACCATTTGACCCAGGAATTCCACTCCTAGGAATTTACCCTAAGAACGCAGCAATCAAGTTTGAGAAAGACAGATGCACTCCTATGTTTATCGCAGCACTATTTACAATAGCCAAGAATTGGAAGCAACCTAAATGTCCATCGGTAGATGAATGGATAAAGAAGATGTGGTACATATACACAATGGAATACTACTCAGCCATAAGAAGTGGAAAAATCCAACCATTTGCAGCAACATGGATGGAGCTGGAGAGTATTATGCTCAGTGAAATAAGCCAAGCGGAGAAAGAGAAATACCAAATGATTTCACTCATCTGAGGAGTATAGGAACAAAGGAAAAACTGAAGGAACAAAACAGCAGCAGAATTACAGAACCCAAAAATGGACTAACAGGTACCAAAGGGAAAGGAACTGGGGAGGATGGGTGGGCAGGGAGGGATAAGGGGGGGGAAGAAGAAGGGGGGTATTAAGATTAGCATGCATGGGGGGGAGGGAGAAAGGGGAGGGTGGGCTGCACAACACAGAGAGGACAAGTAGTGACTCTACCACATTTTGCTAAGCTGATGGACAGTAACCGTAATGTGGTTGTTAGGGGGGACCTGATATAGGGGAGAGCATAGTAAACATAGTATTCTTCAGGTAAGTGTAGATTAAAAATTTAAAAAAAAAAAAGAAAGAAAGAAAGAAAAGGGGGATTACTCCTTAACAGGATAAAACTATTGGTAAATCAAAGATCAACGCATGCTTTAAATATCCTTAATGTTGATCACTTAAAGGGTGTCAGATGATCAGCTATGGAGGTACTCTTTTCTGATAATATTCCTTTCTCTTATTAAAAAAAAAAAAAAAAAGCAGTTACTGTGTGCTGACCTCCAATGAGTTCTGCACAGTGGTATAGAGGGCATGTCAAAGTGTGGGCAAAGGGTCTGTTTGTTTCTACGCAGAAGATCAAGGCCTAGCTTGGATACCCAGAAAATGAACTAAGATACGATATGAGGAGGAGCTTCCGGCATCAGCACTCTCTGGAGGACTCGTGCCGGGGGATGATCATCAAAAAGCCTCCACAGGGATCCGGACGATGCTGCGGTTGTGGCTGCATCCAGCCCACCGTCTCCTGGACTTGCCATAAGAAGGAGGAGGGAGATGTCTAGGCTGGCATGTGCATAC